GGGCTCTACTCCAGGGGGTCATTATACTGACCAACCCTCCACTTCCCAGTTAGCTTACACATCACTCGGTCTGCCCCATTATGGCTCAGCTTTTCCCTCTATATCCAGGCCCCAGTTTGATTATCCTGATCACCAACCTTCAGGACCCTATTACAGCCACTCTAGTCAGGCTTCTGGTCTCTATTCAGCCTTCTCATATATGGGGCCCTCTCAGCGTCCTCTGTACACTGCCATCTCTGACCCAGCCCCTTCAGTGCCACAGTCCCACAGTCCCACACACTGGGAACAGCCTGTGTATACAACCCTCTCAAGACCCTAGGGAATGGGGAGCAGTGATCAAAGCAGCAGCGGAAAGGCTCCAAAGAATCAGCCCCAGAAGATGAGCCTCCAAGTTCCAAGGTCTTTTGGTGTCATCCATTCGCCAGAATCCACAGAATATCCGGGGATGTCTATCATGACCACAGTTATCGATGGCTCACCTGGCTGGAGGAAGGTTCCCAACCACCCCCCCTACTCCCAGTCCCTGAGTGGCTTTCAAGATCCCATAGGCCTTCTAAAGGAGGGTGATTCTAGGCATGGAGCAACAAGTCATGGTTGGTTTTTGTAAGGCAGATTGAGAGTTTAAAGTAATTACAAGAAGAATAAAATTGAGAGATAATTCCTCCCTTCTCTTCCCCCATCCTCAACTGTCCAAACTATCAGTCTGATATTTTAAGAAAGAAACCAATAACCATAACTTTGCCACGATCTATGGGTAAATTATGGCTAGAGCTGGGCACGCTGTGGTGGATATGTTACAGAAGAAATCCAGTAACGCAGCTGTTGTGGACAGAGCTCTAGGACGTTTGTGCTTCAGAGTTGCACATGCATGAAATTTAGTTCTCCATTGGAAGATCACCCTGTGCTTGCTTTTCCTGTTGTACTTGGCATCTCTGTTTCCGCCTATCTATTCCATCACCTCTCTGCTGTCTGGCTCTCTTAAGACTTAACTACACAGTACATTGGACTCAGGAACTGTATTACATGATCTGTCCAACTTTGCATGTAAGTTCATTCATGTGTGCACACCTGCTGGTCCCTGGACCATAAATGGCAAAGTAGACTGAATTTTCCTTCTTGGTAATGAACATTTTGTATTCCTAATCTGTTCCCACTTCTTCATGGTTGCCTTCTAACTCTCCCAGCTACCCTTCTAATAGTCAAAAAGATATCCTGCCAAAGCCAATGTTTTTTCTTCTGGCATGCTTATGAATGGGTTTTCCGTGTATGAGTGTGTATATTGTGGATGTAGGGAAATTGAGGAAAGAGAGCAAGTCAGTATGGTTTTTCCTACATGCTTCATTAGAGATCAAAATTGCCATAGCATTAACTAATGTAATCTTATCGTTTCATGAAACACCTCAAGATGCTTGGGTGCCTGAGACAGATTGTTCAAATGGTACCCAGAAATGGTAAAAAGATAGTAAAAATATTAGCTGATCATTTGGTACCTTTCAATCATTCATCAAAATCTGCTATGAACTGAGGAGTGTGTTACCATGCCTGTTGGCTGAAATGTAAAAGCATGAAAACGTCAATGCCCTAGAAACAACAGATGCTATGCAAGTCCATGAGAAAAGGCCATTACTGGCTGTAGCAGTGTTTCTCAATCTTGGCAACTTGAAGATGCATGGACTTTAATTCCCAGAATTCTCCAGCCAACATCTTCAAGTTGCCATGGTTGAGAAACAGTGGGCTATATAGTATTGTATGTTACGGTTACATTTTGTTCTTCCCAACATCTTTAGACTGAGACAGCTGAGGCTTGCCTGCCCTGCATTATGAACTTATATATGCTTACTTCCATGTTCAGCTATGGATAATTATATTTTCTCTATGGTATTTGAAAAGGAACACGTAGTATGGCTGTATTCTTTATAATCTATTAACTGCTATGCACCCTTATTTATGCAAGTAGCACATCTTTTCCTGTCCCCAATGCTACAAACTTAAGTTGTCCTAGCATCATTAACTTTGCATCAAATGTATGGAGTAATAAACTTAAAATGTTTTAGCTATGTATGTCAATGTGTGTTTCCTATTTTGGTCTATGCTCTGCCTCATACCCCTCCAAAATTGGCTAAGAGAGAGAAAAAATCCTAGTATGCTACACATCACCTTATTAGCCATAGATTTCTCCCTGTGCATTGTTAACAGATCAACCTGTCTTTTCACACCTAATCAGAACTACAATTCCCACTTTTTTCACCCAGCAATGGACCAGATGAGAATCGTTGGTCTTTCCAGTTAAACATTCCAAGCACCCTTTTTATTGTACTTTTCCAGTTCCATGGTTGTCTGTTAAAGCCAATTGGGATATTCACACGCACCTAGTCATCTTTTCTAGCTCTTTTATTACATTTGCTATTCTAAAGTCAGCTGCCTTTGAATATGAGGTAACATCTTTAATTTCCAAGGATAACTATAATTGATTTTACAGAACTGTATCTAATCCTTCTGTGGCATACATTCTATAAATCAACTGCATCACATTAATGAGGGATCCTTTTCGTGATGCAGCCAAACAGGTTGACTGTATAATTTTAAATTCTAAATATATTTTTTAACTGAGATTAGAATTAAACCATTCTAATTCAATTTATCCAGCCAGTTTACCATCCCACTTGATTTGCAGCCCTTTACTTGAGAGAAAAAGTGGGCCTTCTTCGTCAAGCAGCTGTCAAATCACTTTAGCTATTTCTTTCATCTCCATTATTGCCATTTCTATTTTGGGAATTTCGCAAATTGACTTTCAAGCTTCCCCTCTATCCCTGAAACCAACTGATCCTTCCTGATTTCTCAGGTAGGTACTTAACAATTAGGAGGAGCAAATTCCCACTTTCATCTGCTCCCCCAACTTTGTTTCATTCCACAAGATTTCTAAGATTAGGAATAGATAATACATTTTTCAAAGGGTTGCAAAGTAAAAGAAAAGTGTATATATATATATATATATATATATATATATATATATATATATATATATATATATATATATATATATATATATCTCCAAGATAATATTTACAATTCAGAAATTGCCATATTTTGCATACCAGAGTACCTTTTGACTTATTCTGTGTGGGGGCACATGAAAAAATGCAATGGTGGGCGGGTTGTGCATTTGGCCTGACATTATCTCCTTTGACTCTGATGGAAATCTTTGGCTCTAGGCTTCTGTTTAAATGTCTGGCCAAATGCTTTAAATTCCCAACAATTGGCAACTTGTGCCATGTTTACCATGGCACTAGGAGTTATTTAACCAGATGATTCAGTGATCCCTAAGCAATCTGAGTTGAACTTTCCTAGGTAAAGGACAGTAACAAGAGGAGATTAATAGGAAAGTGATAACATCGATACAAATATATATCTTCAGCTGACCAATGAATTAATTTAAGATATACTTCATTTTAGATCAGAACACCCATAGCTTCTTTCTTCACCCCTCTTACTGCAAATCCTAAAGACTAGAAGCATAGAATTAGAATTGGAAGAGGGTGTGTGGGCCCTCTAAGTCCAACCTCCTGTGAAGGAATCCAAATTAAAGCATCCTAGTCATATGGTTTCCAGTCCTAATTTGAATATATTGTGAAAAGCAGTCCACCATTCTAGATAGCATGTTTCATTGTTGATAGAGAAGGCATCTGTCTTCCTATATTTTAAACTCATTACTCTGTGTCCCAGATTCTGGACATCTATATGGACATTTCGATATCCAATAAAAGAGATTTGATTCACAGAAAAGGGTGAAGCTTCCTTTGCAAAGTTTTATTCTTGCAAATCCTTTTGATGGTAGATAATTATTTAAGCATAAAAGCATGTTTAAATAATTATCTAAATTATAAAGAATGATACTTGGTTCTCCTGCTTGAGCAGGGGGCTAGACTAGAAGACCTCCAAGGTCCCTTCCAGCTCTATTCTATTCTATACCCATGCTGGCTGGGAGAATTCTGGGATAGAACTCCATACATCTTAAAGTGGGTGAGGATGAGAAACTCAGGTATACAGAAAAGGCAAAAACAGAGTAAAAAAAAGCTACTAATGTAATATAGTGAAATAATGAAACAACAGTAAAAAAAAATATCAAAGCAAGAATGTTTGACTCCATTTTAAAGTATTGAAACATCTGTGCAAATAGTAAGTTTATACACGAAGGAGAAATACCAGCATTTGCACAAGTTGAAAATCATGGAGGGAATAGTTCAAAAAGAGGGTACCACCACTCAAAAGGCCCTGTCTCATTCTATAAATTTCCCTTTGGGAAAAATAAAAAATCTACCAGAGTTCTGGGTTTTGATGCAATGCTGCAATTTAAAACAGTTGCCTTTGGGATATTCAAGCAAAGGCAAAGATGTGTGGCCTTCTATGTCCTCCCCAATGTAGCTGTGCCAATTTCCAAAATTGGTCAACTGGCATAGCCTTTTTTGAAAATTCCAAACTGGAGTTCACACAACCGGAGGATACCCTATTTGGAGGAAGCTCATTGAAAATAAGGAAAAAGCTAATGGGAAAACTCTTTGGCAAAGTTGGGATGGACAGCCGAAAGAACTTTTGTAATAGCTCTAGGGAAGTACAGTTAAGACTGGAAATACATGATCTATTGCCAATAGGGAGATTGTCACAGCTAAAGGAACCACACACAAGGGACAAAAGGGATTGTTCCAGATTACTTCAAGAGCTCTCTATGTGCATCCTCAGAAGGAAAGCTGATTAAGAAGAGGTGATGTGCTTTCTTAGCCAATAAATTGCAGGAGTTAATGCCAAAGTGCCATGTTTCTGTCTTAAGAAAGTAGGATCCAGCATTTGCCAGCTTACAGGCTAGGCACAAAGGGACTGCACATTCCCCTACCAGTCTGGTGGGAGCTGGCCTAGAGCCTTTGCTACCCTTTTAATTGTATCTGATTTAGATGCAAGGGTTGGGGAAGGGGGATGAGGAAGGGAGAGTATTAAAACAAAGAAGCTTTTTTTTTTTTTTTTTTTTTTTTTAAAAAGAGGACCAGGGGAACAACACCTGCGCTCCATTGTGGATGCCAAAATGATCACACAAAGAAACATTTCATTACTGAAATTTCATCACACAAACGTGATTAAACGCCAGAGGGAGTGGGGAGGCCAAGGAGATTTGTAAGTTATAACTCTGCAGATTAACCTATTATTGGCATAGTTGCTGTCAGCAAACACGACAGATTCCTTGTGGTTTCAGTGCCTTTGTTGGTTGACAGTTGTTGTATTCTGTTAACTTCCATTTCACATTATTTCTGAAACTACTCCTTTTTTTAAAAAAAATCATTTATATTTCCAAATATAAATTTCATTTGCATATATCAGTGTTAACGTATATATAAAATGGCAACGGGGGGAGGGGGGGACAAGAATAGGTAAGCTGAAGTCCTAGGACTGTCTGCAGCCTTTGCCCTAATTCCACAAGCTCACTGGAAAAATCAGCTCAGATCTGGGATAAGTCTAAAGTAGAATTATAAAAGAATTTTGCCACAGTTTACATTGGGAGCAAATCTGGATATTCCAGCAGGAATGTTTCTTCAGAGTCTAGTTAGCATTAGTTTTTCTCCCAAAACTCCACATCTGAAACAAAGATACAGGAATGTTGCATACAAAAAGCAGTAGTTATATTTTTAAAAAGAACTTGCATTAAAATAAATTACACTTTAAGAAATTATGCATCAAGAGCCAAAAGCAAGGTATCGTATATGCCGGCGTATTAGGTGACCCGGCATATAAGACGACCCCCGTCTTTATCGCCGAGCTGCATTCCTAGAACGTCGTCTTATACGCCGGAAACTACCAGTATTTCCGGCATATAAGACGACTCGATGTATAAGACGATCCCCGTCTTTGGCGCTGAGTTTAGCGCTTCCGGAAGTCGTCTTATACGCAGGCATATATGGTAATTTGCATCTTAAGCAAACCATTATCGACATGCATTAATAACTTATAGCAGTGGTCCCCAACCTTTCCGGCTGTGGACCAGCAACAGCTGCAACGAGGAGGGGATGTTTTCGCACGCACCCCAGCCGCTTATACAAAATGGAGCTTCGTGTGCTTGCCCGCTACTTGCACCGCTCAGTTTCCATCAGGCCACGGACTGGGAATTGGGGACCCCTGACTTATAGGAATGATGTTTACAAAGCCTTTGTAGAGTATATTAAAAAATCTTTACTGATTTCTTTTTTAAAAAACAATGGTAACAATACATTTATTTTATAAAGATTAAAAAAAAAGTTCATTGCATAAAGCAAAGTGTTCTTGAGAAGCATAAAAAATTTTCATTGCAAAAGTACTTTTAAAATATTCTTTTACCATTTGAGTGACACAATGGATTTGGAGGTTTATTTTGCAATAGAGTTTGCTTATTTATGTAAATTTAAAACTTATTTTCCTGACATTTTAGGAATTGTGTAATTCTTCATAATATGAACGTGCACTTACAGTAAGGCTATGCCAGATAGAGTGGGAAAGAAATGTACTGATACATAGGTACCATAAAGCATAGATTACAGATGTCAAGCTGACTCTCTCTAGATAGCTCATCAAGGCAACTATGCTTTTTGCTGTAAAACAGCCCACTGTAAGGGGATCCTGTTGATTGATAAGAAGTCAGGGCAGGAAAAGGAACAATGGAAGATTTGATGAGAGTTGCTCTGTGATACTCCTGAGAAGCCCAGAGAGCCAGCCTTGATCAGAGGGGAAATTTGGGGTTTCCAAGGCAACTTGTTCCCGGGCACAAAGGCATGTCTGTTTGGTAGCAAGCAATAGAAATGCCTCCTCTGCTACAGACCCCTGGAAAAAAGCGTAGGTTGAAGGCAAAGGGGTCTTTCAGTTGTCTTAAAGGACATCTGGAAGTTTGGCAGCTGCAGGATCACTTTAAAATCATTTGCGTATAACATGATGATTAGATAGAACACTGAGGAAGCTTCTCCTGTGCCACCTTTGCATTTATAGCATTTGAAAGGTAGCAGCTACCTCGCTTGGCTCTGCAAAAACAACAGAACTAAACCTATTGGGTCTTCAAGATAATGGAAGACTGAACTGTAAAGAAGAAAGAAAGAAAGAAAGAAAGAAAGAAAGAAAGAAAGAAAGAAAGAAAGAAAGAAAGAAAGAAAGAAAGAAAGAAAGAAAGAAAGAAAGAAAGAAAGAAAGAAAGAGGAAGGGAGGGAGGGAGGGAGGGAGGGAGGGAGGAAGGAAGGAAGGAAGGAAGGAAGGAAGGAAGGAAGGAAGGAAGGAAGGAAGGAAGGAAGGAAGGAAGGAAGACCACTGGTTTTCTTTAGCATTATTTTGGGTAAAAGGGAAACATCGAAGACATTTATAGGGGGATTTTGGTATTTATTTACACAATATATAATATATATCCATATGTGCATTCTATAAAAGTTCGAGTTGGAGCACAGAAGACATTTAATCTGTGATAATTAGTTCATCTACACCCCAGTCTTCATAACTTCCATCTGGCAGGTACCTACGGATAATTATAGGAATCTTCCGAGCTCTGGAGGACAGAAAGAGACATTCATAGCCAAGGACACTAAATCGTTGGTATTCAGTAGAACTCCAATAGTGTAATAAAACATTTGAAAGCCTTCAAAACCAAATCTAAAAATTCACCCACAGAAAATCATTGACTGTTCCTTCCTACTTCTTGAAATTAAGCAGGAAATAATCTGAATGTAGGACTTCTGAATCTTAATTTTCCATGGAACTTTCCTAAGAGACAGGGGTACAACTGCACTGTGGAAAGACCACATTGGGATCACACAAATGACCTTTCTAATACGCATTGTTTAATCGTATATAAAGTGTTCATATAGTGTAATGCCATAAACCAAAAAAAAAAAAAAATGCTCTGAGTGGAATACATAAACTATTAAAAACCTTTGGCAAACTGAATAACATGGAACCTAAAGGGAAGAAATTTAAATCCAGTTTAATAGAAATAAGACTTTTTAAGTCAACAATGTAATTAGTGAGCTTGGAATTTTTCCAGGACGTCAGGTTTATAATTGCAATACGTGAAAAGTTAAAAAATAAAAATATTTTTAAAAAGTTATAGGAGTTCAACAGGATGGTCCTGAAACCATAACCAGAATAGAATTTTTCAAGGAAATTCTCACATTATGATTTTGTATTGGGGTTATACTAGTCAGAGCTTCGCATAGCTCAAGTAAATATTAAAGCAAGTTTAGTTACATTAATGTTTGGGCTTACAAACACCTTTCCATTAAATAATGTACAAATCTTGCATTATGTGCACAATGGGAGCCAAATATGAAGAAAGAAAAAAGTAGCTTTCTTTCTATAATGGGAACTCATGAATCTCAAGTGCTTATAACAGAACAGTTTACTGTCATTTTTTTTTAGTTTCTACATAACATCTGACATTATAGTTCTCTAGCCAATGACACTTATAAAAAAAGAGAAATTATTATCTATTTAAACTCTGAATTTCAAAATAACAGTCTGAAACATTTCAGTGTTGAGAAAAGGGAAATCATCTATTGTGATTATACTTCTATGGAAAATAACAGAGATGGCAGGAATCAAATCATTAACTATTTTAAAGCTTTTAATTAACGCACCTGGGAAAATTATGGTACTGAAAATGTGACAAAAAATAATTATAAAAATACTATTTTATAACTAGTATTTTATTCCTATGCAAAACAATAGTATTATTACCTCTACTTAGAAAAGTAAAGGCACTTACAAAATGGAATACTGTATATAACACTCTGTTAGTCTCTTATTGGACAACAGAAATTGTATTCAGATGTTGTACATGTGCATAAAATTAACTAGCTCTCTCTTCCCAATAATTGCCTTTTTGTCACTTACAAATTGTAGGACAAACATCTGTAGCAGTAAATATCTACTGTTTATAGACATTCATCAATGTCCTAAAAATCATGGTTTTAAACTGTATGTAGAACCATACATGTAAGTAAGATTCCAGAGTGCAGAAAATTATCTTGATCTGATGGACAACTGGAAGAACAGGAAGAGTGAAACTAGCATGTTCACCCTACAGCCTGTCCTGTCTTAAAGTAGAATGTCCAAATCTAATTAGAGAGGGAACCGTTTACGCACACCTGCACATGGATAAAACTTCTCAACTTACTTCAGTTCTTTCATTGCAATCAGCAAGGGATCTCTTTCTCCTTCAAGCTCTACCATTACTGGAGCACACATCCTGAGAGGAAAAAAGATTTAAAAACTTTTACTGCAACTGGAGTAAACCGTGGATATTAAAAGTTATCAAGTTAGATGAGAATAAGATATACCATTTGGTTTCCTGTCAAACTTGTAAGTAGCCTGGAGTTTTTATTCTTGAAAACCTATGCTGCTGTCTCACATTTTAAATATTTTCATTTTGGAGTTGGGGGGGAGGTGTTGTACCTTTGAGTCAAGTCTTGACTTCTAGCAACCCTGGAGAGTCCCTGCAGTTTTCTTGGCAAGGGTTTTCAGAAGTAATTTACCACTGTCTGCTTCCTAGGGCTGAGAGAAAGTGGCTGACCCAAGGTTATCTGACTGGGCATAAAATGGAATATAATACAAAAATAAAAGTAGGAGAGGCTAAATTCTCACACATGGACATTATTGTTATATACCTCTAACAAACAAATCTCCATTGGCTTATCAAAGCAACTGTCTACCATGCGACTGAAATGAAGAAGAAAAATAACCAGCTACTAGTCCTCACTAATCACAGTTGGGACCAGTAACTCCATCACTAAGTGACATAGTTGTAAAGTAAAACTTCATGTGACCATAAGAGTTATGACATCAGTTCTGGCTATAATCATTAAACAAATCATCCATGGCCATTAAGTGAGATGTTACATGACTGCAGCTTGCAACTTACTGCCAGTTTCTCTGGTTTTATTGGAAGCCAGCTGCGAAGGGAGCAAATAACAATCACGTGACCAGAAGTTGATGACCATCATAAATGCAAACTGGTTGCCAAGCACCCAAACTGCAATCACATGACTACAGGGACCCTGTGATGTAAGTTTAAGAACTGGTCATAAACCTAATTTGTCAGGGCCATCATAATTTTGAATGGTCACTGAATGTGCAGTTGATAAACAAGGGCAACCTGTAAAGTTTTGCCTTGTTAAACCTCTCGTAAGATACTTCAAAGAAGCTCAAGAGCACTACATTCCTTCCTGGAGCAATACTGGGAACATATTGGATAATGAAACATCTATCTGCTTTTAGAGGCCAATTCTTCTAAATATTTAGTTTTCCACAAAAAAGGAAAATTTTCCTGTTTAGCACCTTCAGAATGGTGAAAAGATTTAATCTGAAAAATACTGTGTAACCCCAAAAATACAATCTTATTCATGGATCTGTTTTCAGTTGCTCATCCCAAAGTTCATCTGTACCACTCTTACTGCCCAATTCTTGATTGCAGGATAGGAATATTCTGCTAGCAGCCTTCCCCTCCCATTATTCATATATGTCCCTGTATGAACTCTGAAAGCCATGTACATAGTAACATTTAAAATAAATGGCCTATTTTTAATGAAACCTCACTAATAATTTAAATACATGCTCTGCCAAAGAGCCTTTCTGAAATATAGCCTCAGCTGCTGGAAGTTGTTATAAGCTCAGATTTTGCCTAAACCTATAGCAAAATAGTTCTCTGATAGAGCAACTGGTATCAACGACTAATTTAATAAAGGGAAAATGTTTATTTTTAAAAAAGAGACTTTACTCTTCTCTAATCCAAAGTATATATCCATTGCATCCTCACTTGCAGATGCATGCAAGAATGTGTACTTCAAATCATATCAAGGTATGCAAAGTCACTGAAATCCTCTGAGGTTTGCCTATGGTTGTTTCAACTTTGCCTTTAAGCAACTTGAGGATGAGCTTACTTTGCTACTGGGTCTCTGAAAGCCACTTCCTGTTCAATTATTGAAACTGATATTTTTGCTTTAAAGACATCTTTCTGAAAAGATTTGTATTCATAATTTTAATTTTCTACTTTAATAACTTTTAAAATGTTTTTATGATATACTGAAATAATTAAGCTAGTTCCACACTTCCAGTTTAACCCAGTAAGAGGACAGGGCGCTCACTGTTTCATGAAGATAGAAATGTATGATGCCATCTTAGTGTCATCTTTACCCTGCTGGTAAGGTAACTGACATCAGTATTTTTTTTGCTGAATCATGGTGCAAGCAGGGAAATCCTGTCTAACTGTGCTGCTTCATTCCATTTTACAGAAATATTTCCATTACAATTCGCTGATGTGTGTCACTAGTCCTCAAACATATGCCCAATGAAGGGAAAGCAATAATTGCCTTTTTTCTAGGATGGGTGGGAAGGAAAAGAAGCACAGGAATTGACCAATCGGGGGCTGTCTTGAGATCTAGATAGAATACCAAGCCATAACTATGACAAAGTAGAAGAAAGGGTAGAAATCTACAAAGAAATTTCATTATGCATTGGAGGCAAACAGCTGAAATCTGGAAAAGCCTTCAGACAATCATTAGTATAAAAGGTGAGTAAGTAAATAAATATATATTTACGCTATCTGGAGGGCACGGGTACCAAGAACTCTGGCCCGTTCATATTTGGTCATGTAAGGAGTAGTGATCCGCTTCTGATTTGCCTGTTGTCGCTCTCCAGATGGCAAGATTTCCACATTTTCCTGACCCTCCTATGGAATAATGCAAAGCAAATGTAAACACACAGAGATGTATGCCTTGTCATCTGAGCAGTCATCAAATTGAAACCAATGGAGAATATGAATGGAAAATGTTAAATAAGGTTCTACAACAAGAATGCTATTAGGTAAAAGGTCTAATACATGATGGTAAGTTTTTTCTTTGAAAACAGGCATTAACTATGAATTCATATATTTTCTAACCCATTTTCTAAAGTTCACATTTTATACCACTTAAACATTGGGACTTTACAGATCTAAGTTACCACTATAAATTTGTATTCTATTCCCATTGTCCTTAGTTTCTAGTCAAAGAAACAAATTATATGCCTTGGGTAAAAAAAAAAAAAAAAAACATAGAACAGACTTTGAGAGAGATAAGAGGGATACAAATGACCAAAACTTTCAAGATTCTATTATTCTGCCTTACTATGATAAAGAGTATTCCTGGAATCCCTGCCAGTTTCTGGCCTACTTCAAAGGACTGACATAATTTTTGAAAACATGTCCAAGTTTCTTTCTATCCCATCTTATACCAAACAAAATCATGGTAAGGTTATTTTGAGTTTGTTTTTCATACTTTCCTCTAAGGACTGTATAACCTTTTCTCAAAGTCCCTCTTTAACAGTTTGCTCCTTCTTTCTCCTTTAAGTAGTCCTTTCATAAATTCCCTCAAATCACTTCTATATTCATTTATACCCTAATAACATACATAAATGTAATCTTCCAAAAGTATTCATTTTGCTGATTAAGAATGACAGAAGTCTAATACATCTAGAAGCTATTTCACTCATAAAATGTATATCTTCCTATTTCAAATCATTCACCAGATTGAAGGCTGTTTTAGAATATCACAAACTGAAGTCACTTACCTCCTCAACATTTTCTAGATCATCAAGTCCTTCATCTTCTTCCACATCATCAAAATCATCTCCATCGAAACTAACAGGAGAAATGTATTAATAACTTATGGATAATTCTCTAGTAAAACCCTTCATCCCTAAAGTATTCACCATAAGTACTACAAGCTAAATGTCACAGCTGATGTCAATTAGCTATAGTAGTAGTAGTAGCAATAATAATAATAATAATAATAATAATAATAATAATAAAGTTGGAAGGGACCTTGGAAGTCATCTAGTCCAACCCCCTGCTCAGGCAGGAAACCCTATACCATATCTTGACCTTATAGCTATCTTGACCAAAACAATGCAAGACTGGACTTGATTTATATGTGGAAGGAAAATCACTAGGTTTATAAATCAGGCTGTGAATGGATCACAGAGAAGTCAAAAAGGGAACAATTCTGTCTTTAGGCTGGAGAAAACGAGCTTCTTTCAAATTCTGTGGCACAAGCCAGAAAAAAGAAACATTCATGATCTTTTAAAAGTCATTAAATCAACAGGCATGAACTTGGAAACTACAGCAATTCTGTTCCCTGAATGTACTCTGTAATGGTGATAAGCAACAGCTAGTTATTAGGCTTTCCAAATTTGTAACTTCAGAGACCACTATAACCTACTGATTCCTTCTTAAGTTCTAAGGAATTTAGAGCCAAATAATACATGAATAAATGACCTATGTGCATGGCTGTTGTTATTTAACATAGATCTAGAGAATGCATTCTATTCTCAAATTCCTTCCAACAGCTCAGGATGAAGTTTGAGCAAAAGTATAAAGTTAATTAAAATATACATATTAACACATTTAGAAGTCTGATTTGACTAGGTGTATCCCAATTCCTCATTGACAGGTGATAAAGAAGACAAAATTATAAAACAAAGGATTCTTATTTTAACTGTATTTCAACTGCCACATCTAAATGTTGGTCATTTAGCTTCTCAGAATAAAGCATGCTAAATGGAGCTTTAGTCAGATCCAAATTTATATATATTTATATACAGAGACTGTAATTACTCTCCAGTTTCAGTGATGAACAGAGAAAGAATATGCCTTGCCAGTTAAAAATATTTTTGGAAAAATCAGTGTGTAGTACAATTATTTAAGTAAGGCTACTACTTGGATTCAAATTTCTCCATAACCATGGGCCCAGCTCATTATTATGTAATTACTCCAAAATCCGTGCATGGGTAGCTATCACTTTGGGACTGGTTTAACAGTGAAAGTGGGATATACATTTTAATAATAAAAACAGTGTTAATATTAATCATAGCAATATAGGGGAAAACAATAGCTGAAAATTAACATTCTTCTTTAAATCACGAACTGAAGTTGAATCCAGGGCAGCATCTCACAGCTCGGTTTAAAGCAGTTCCAGGAGGCTGTTTTCCCAACTGCAGGTGGACTGGCTAAGCAACCCCTTCCTTCCACCCTGGATCGGCTTTGGAAAATGAGAACTAGCCCAACACCCCGGAGGTTAAAGATTGATTTCTTATTCACGCGCTTACTTATCCTCGTTGTCCGACATGTTGAGGCCTTCCCTCGTTCAGAACAGACTCTCCCGATCACAATTCCCACCACAAACCAAGCGACCTCACGGGAGACGTGAAGAACCCGGGAATATCCTCACCGGCGAGCACGGGAAAGAAAACAAACCCACACACTTCCCGTCAAAGAGCACGCAGAGTGCGAATACTTCCGAGGTCAGATTTGACGTTGGCGGAAGCGAGTGCCGGAGATGGTTGTCATGGTGACGGGAGCCGCCAATTCGGGTAAGAGAAGGAAAATTAAGATTTTTCCTTTGCGAACCTCTCTCGCTTCCCACTTTATATTCCTATCCCTCCAGAAAAGGGAGCCGTGATGTGGGAATAGTTGACATGGGGTGCATGCAAGCCGAGATTTCACGCGTCCGTTTTAGTTGCCTGGTTGCAACTCCACTAAGTTAAAATTGCACCTTGATGTCAAGTACGGTGCAATGGCTGGAATAAGATGGCGGTTGCAATTGTTGTCCATGATGTAGCGCAAATGTCTCGAGTTTTTGCCTTAAAACGTCAGTTTGGATTTTCTACATGCAGTCCATAATACTGTACAAATGAATATGCAGTTGGAAAAAGTGGCGTACAGCTGGTCCACGACTTACGACTACAATTGAGCCCAAACTTTGTTGCTAAGCAAGACAGTTTTAAAGTGAGTTTTGCCCCATTTTATGACCTTTCTTGCCAGTTGTTAAGTGACTCACTGCAGTTGTTAAGTTAGTAACATAGGTTGTTAAGTGAATCTAGCTTCTTCATTGACTTTGCTTATCGGGTTGCAAAAGGTGATCACATTACCCTGGGACACTGCAACCGTCATAAATATTATGAGTCAGTTGCCAAGCTTCCGAATTTTGGTCATATGACTATGGGTATTCTGCAATGGTCATAAGTGTGAAAAATGGTCATAAGTCACTTTTTCAATACCATTGTAACTTCGTATTGCCACTAAATGAGCACTACATGTATTCCAATAGGCAAAAACTGGTATCTCTCCTGCCATTTCAGTGATGCCTAGGAGGATTCAGATTGTTGGGGGTAATATGCTAGCTCTGTAAACTGCTTAGAGAGGGCTGTAAAGCACTGTGAAGTGGTATATAAGTCTAAGTGCTATTGCTATTTATGAGACTGTTGTGTTTTGATTGTGTTACCAGAACAATGCTGGGGAGTAAGTAATAGTAGTAAAGTTGGAAGGGACCTTGGAGGTCATCTAGTCCAACCCCCTGCTCAGGCAGGAAACCCTACACCATTTCGGACAAATGGCTGTCCAGTCTCTTCTTAAAAACTTCAGTGTTGGAGCATTTACTGCTTCGGGAGGCAGGCTGTTCCACTGATTAATTGTTCTCACTGTCAGGAAGTTTCTCCTTAGTTCTAGGTTGCTTCTCTCCTTGATTAGTTTCCACCCGTTGCTTCTTGTCCTGCCTTCAGGTGCTTTTGAAAATAGATTAATTCCCTCTTCTTTATGGCAGCCCCTGAGATATTGGAATACTGCTATCATGTCCCCCCTTGTCCTTCTCTTCGTTAAACTAGACATACCCAATTCTAGCAACTGTTCCTTATATGTTTTAGCCTCCAGTCCCCTAATCATCTTTGTTGCTCTTCTCTGTACTCTTTCTAGAGTCTCAACATCTTTCTTACATCGTGGTGACCAAAACTGGATGCAGTATTCCAAGTGTGGCCTTACCAAGGCATTGAAGAGTGGTATTAATACTTCACGTGATCTTGATTCTATCCTCTGTTAATGCAGCCTAGCACTGTGTTGGCCTTTTTGGCAGCTGCAGCACACGGCTGGCTCATATTTAGGTGATTGTCTACTAGGACTCCGAGGTCCCTCTCACAGTTACTACTATTGAGCATGGTGCCACCTATGCTGTACTTGTGCATTTGGTTTTTCTTGCCTAAATGTAGAACCTTGCTTTTTCACCATTGAATTTCATTTTGTTAGTTAGTGCCCAGTGTTCAAGTCTGTCCAGATACTTCTGTATCTTAAGCCTGTCTTCTGGAGTGTTGGCTATTCCTGCCAGCTTGGTGTCGTCTGCAAATTTGATGAGTTCCCCATCTATCCCTTCATCCAAATCGTTGATGAAAATGTTGAAGGGTACTGGGCCCACAACAGAGCCCTGGGGCACCCCACTACACACTTCCCTCCATATAGATGCAGTTCCATTGAGGACCATTCGCTGAGTATGGCCAGTCAGCCAGCTACGGATCCATCTGGTGGTGATTCTGTCTACCCCACATTTTTCTATCTTATCAAATAGTAGGTTGTGATCTACTTTATCAAATGCCTTACTGAAGTCCAAGTAAATTATGTCCACAGCATTCCTCTGATCCACTAATTTTGTCACTTGGTCAAAGAAGGCAATAAGATTTGTCTGGCATGATCTATTTTTGACAAACCCATGTTGGCTTTTAGTAATGACTTTGTTTGCCTCTAGGTGTTCATTGATTCATTGTTTGATTATCTTTTCTAGGATCTTCCCAGGTATTGAGGTCAGGCTGATAGGTCTGTAATTTCCTGGATCCATTTTTTTTCCTTTTTTGAGATGGGAACTACATCAGCTCTTTTCCAGTCCTCTGGTAGTTCCCCTGTGTTCCAGGATCTTTGAAAAATATAGTTCAGTGGCTCCGATATTACATCTGCCAGTTCCTTGAGAACTCTGGGGTGTAATCCATCTGGTCCTGGCGATTTGAACTCATCTAGGCTGGACAGGTGCTCCCTAACCATTTTCTTGCCTATCTTAACTTGTGTTTCTGTTTTGTTTTTTATGGCACTATTTTTTATAGGTTGGTCTGTTTTTTCCCTTTGTGTAAAGACAGATGCAAAAAAACGAGTTAAATAGTTCTGCTTTCTCCCTGTTGCTTGTCACCTTCTTGCCACTTCCACCCACTAATGGACCAATCATTTCCTTCACTTTTTTCTTGTTTTTTACATGTTGAAAGAAGATTTTTTTGTTATTTTTGACTTTGGTCGCAAGCCTTAGTTCATTTTGAGCCTTGGCTTTCTTCACTTCATCTTTGCAGGCTCGGGCTATTTGCTGATATTCTGACTTAGTTATGTTCCCCTCTTTCCACTTTCTATACTTGTCCTTTTTATCTTTCAATTTGTCAGAGAGTTTTTTATGCAGCCATGCTGGTTTCTTTTGAGAGCTGTTGTTTTTCCTCTTTGTTGGTATTGTGCTAGACTGTGTTTTTATTATTTCATTTTTCAAAATTTCCCAAGTTTCTTGAGTTGTTTTCCCCTTGAGGATTCTCATCCATGGAATCCTTCCCAAGTCCTCTCTAAGTTTATTGAAATTAGCTCTCTTGAAGTCCAAGACTCTAGTTTGACTGTGTTCTATTGCTTGTGCTTCTATAATGTTGAATTCTAATATTGCATGATCACTTCCTCCCAGGGTTCCTATGGCTTCAACACCGTCTATCATTTCATCTCTGTTAGTGAGAATTAGATCCAAAATGGCTAATCCCCTAGTTCCCTTCTCTACTTTTTGGGAGACAAAGTTGTCTGCTAGGTTTGCCAGGAATCTGTTTGATCTTCCACTTGGTGCGGAGTTTGTCTCCCAGTTGATGTCAGGGTAGTTAAAGTCCCCCATTACTATTGTGATGTGCTTCCTACATACCTTAGTTAGCTGACTAGCAAAAAGTTCATCTATTTCCTCTGTTTGGTTGGGTGGTCTGTAGTATACACCTAGCAGACAACTTTGTCTCCCAAAAAGTAGAGAAGGGAACTAGGGGATTAGCCATTTTGGATCTAATGGTGAGCCAGCAAATAATGTATTGCCATTATATTAATGTGTTTATATTAATTTATGAACATGAAAAGGCTACTATTGCCAAAATCTTCCACTTTACACGTGACTTTGTCTTTGTCTTTCCATATTATTTCATTTGGTTACTGTATAAATGTTTTTTGAGATTATACACTCATTGATATTTTTTCAAATAGAGAAAAATTACACTGACACAGGAGGTAATAATAAAAATAATACAGCAAGAAGGGAATTCAAATGATCATGCTGTCTTGGGTCTTTCAAGAAGGCTTTCTACTAGCAAATTTACCAGATGAAGTGATTAGAATGTTCTGGAATCACACAATATGGTAGTTGCCAAGGGAAAATACACAGTCCTGGGAAAAGGTATAGTAGCTTTAAGGAGGTGCAATACAAGTTCAATATGCACATCCTGCATGCTCTGAAAATATCTTTTTGTCTTAAAATTGGAAGTGCTACATAGCTTTAAAAAGTATATGCTGCCAGACATAACTTGTTAGAGAAATTCAGAATATCCAGTGTTCCTTGGAACCCCTCCTGTTTAAGATTTCAATTAAAATCTTCAACTGAATATTCTGCCCATATTTTAAAGTCTAAAAATATGGCTTTGTCCTTTGGTCTGGGGCCCCAACAGTGGCTTACTATTTTGTGGGTGGCTGCCAGGTGGCTAACAGAGAAGATCTTGGCTTTTAACTTTTAACTTCCTTATTGAATTTTTCTAATTGTAACTGTTTTCAGCACTTTTTATCTTTTCATTCTATTTTAAGCCTCCCAAAGTTGCTGTATGAGCAACACAGGCAGCATAGAATTTTAATAAATAAAATAAATATGACAAATAAACACTGGTGAAAAATCAGTAGGAGAAATAAAGATGTGATCTTAAAAACTGTTTTAATGTTTGAGATGTGATCTTAATAACTATAGATCTCTTTATCAAGTTCTTTCAGGATATTGTATTACAATGGCTTCTCAAGAGAGGATCAGGCCTGTGGTAAAAGGAACTGGATTTTGGCATGTTCCCACTGTGAAAGAATATAGCCAGGAAACGCAAGAGCTGTTAAAAGGTAATCAAGCAGAATAGAAAAGTATCTCGGGAAGTAATCTCCTCAGTCCTGGTTATTATCTTGTTGCATTTTAAAACTACTATCTAAATTACTGTTTGTACAAATTGAGAATGTTAAGTTAAGGATCCCTAGTCTTTGATGATTTTAGTGACTGTAGAAAAAAGCCTGTGTTGAATATCTTCCTTAATATGTTATAAATTCTTGCATACCTTTCTCCACAGCAGCTAATCACAAGATCTAGTCATGCCAATAAAGTTATAAGTTGAAAACTGGTTACAGGAAAAAATACAGCCTTTTGAATATTACTTGTTTAAAGTAAAAAAAAAACAGAAAAAAATTCACTTTGGATTTCTGTATTCCAGAATAACAACAATAATAAAAAATAGTTTTGTGGAGAAAACCCGTTGTTGCAATTGGTTAGATATTCTGAAAAGGGTTTTGAATATTAATTATGCTATAGTATTCTACAATTGGATGCCCTTCAATTATATTTATATCCAAAAGAGAGCAGGAAGACATCTCATTGGAAAAGGCTGCTATATATAGATTGGACTATAGCTTTTTAGCATTTGTGGGTATCTGTTCTCAAGGTATCTGTTCTCAAGTACCTTTTTATATGTAGGTACTGTTTGGGTAAATCTGTTTCTGCAAAGGTAGTGATGTTGTTGCTGATCTGTATAGATATTTTTTCTCTTTCAGTGATGATGCAAGAATCTAAGCTTACTTGTTTCCAGCAACGCCATCTTGTAAATTGCATGAAACGTAAGTATGCCTTTTTAAAGTCTACAAAGCTATTAGTTCTGGTTTTCGGATTTCTAAATTTAGTTCAGCCACTTGACTTCCTCCAGCTAAAAAAAACAAACTGTTCCCTTGCAAAAGAAATGTATATAAACTCAGGAAGTGAACAGAACATTAGTAGAATTGAGTTAAGTCAGATGATGGATACTTCTTAATAAACTCTAGTTTATCCAACTCTCTAGAACCATAAGGAATCTTCTGTAAAAGTTTGGGATTTTCAGCATGTATTATAAAGGTAGGTCGAGGGACTATTTAGTTTTAAATAATTCTGAATTCATATTAAAACATGAATCATTCCTATTATACATTTTCTTTTATGCGTTTATAAGAAGCCAATTTACAGAATCCTTCCTGAAATATTAAATTGGAACACATATTTGTACTTAGCAATTTAATCTTGGGGTCAAATCTAGACACTGCCAAGAATACTACATGGACATATCTAAGAAGCTGACAGAGACTGAGTTTGGCTGAAAGGAGACTCTGCCATGTATACTTAAAATAGTACAGGCATGCCACCAGCTTTACATTTACTTCCTTTCTGACCAATCTTTGCCCTTCTTTCTTAGGTGGTGATGCTTTCCCCATACAGTGTTATCCAACATCCAGCAAAGAACCAGAGCTTCCAAAGCCTGTATCATCAAAGATTATTTTGACCACCAGTCCCTTTGGTAGACCTCACCTCCGGCCTGCAGAAATTTGTCGTGCAGGAAATGCATATATCAGAGAAAAATTCAAACCTCAAGCCACTCGTAAGCAAGAAACATTTGCAAATGATAAATGCAGGAATCGAGAGATAAATAACGATGATTATATTTATTATTTACAAGTAATCTTTGTTCAGCTACTGTACTGCCTGGGCAGCAACCACTTGTTACCACAGTGTTGAAAATTACTTTACAACCTATGAAAATATAACTTTACAACCAATGACCACATTTATGTTCACCATTTCACACAGAACATGTTGTCCATTGCCTGATCTGCTTTTTTTTTTCTTTACCTCCTTTACAGTACAAAAGGATTGCCTAAGCTGCTTCTCTCTTCAATGCAGAGGGTCACTGAAAAGTGCTAACCCCAATTCTGTGATTTTAATTACTTGATTAGAACCCTGGATCTGCACAGTTGCTGTCTGAAATTGACAAGACCATAATCGATGTTTCACTCATTTTTTTGCATCCTAAGTGGCTCAAGCCTCCCATGTGTGCTAGGCAAACAGCTGATGATCCACATTGTGTGCCTGCTTACTTCTTATAATCTCTTCCTCTCCAGTGAATGTAGATACAAACATGAATGAACTAATTCCCTTGCTAATTATCCCAGTACTAAAGTGAGCACCCAAAATGGTGAAAAGGAGCCCTAAGATTTGCCCTTTTACCTGGCTTCCTTGTGAGTCAAGTTCCAGAAGCCTTCCCTGCTGTTTGAGGTCATATCCTTTTGATGTTGTAAAGCTGATGTAAAATTGTAAACACAGTGACATATTTTTTCTGCTTAGCTACCATTTTGCTTAATGACTGATTGGTGGTTCCCAGTTGCAGTAGTTAAAGAAGGACTATCCGCTGAAAGGCTTGATGAATCTAAATGATCTGCCAGATTAGTGCAACTCTTCAGAGAGAAATGTCTGAGAAAGAATATGATAACCAAGGGAATGTCTTGTGTGCACAAGTACTAAAATTCTCTCCATTTAGCAGTCTCAACTGCTGCCATTTGTGTATCAGGATTCATTTGTACTCATTTGCTTAGACATTTTAAATTTGTCTTCTTTTGAACACAGTCTGTTCTTTATGTTTTGCATTGTGTGGTAATTTTTATTTACTATTTAGTAGGTTAGGATAAGTTTGGTCAGAAAGAATAGTTTTCCTACAACCATTAATATATAAATGTTTGAGTTTTGAATCAATGCTTGAGCATCAATCTTCAGCAATCCAAAATTCAAACAAGTCCATGGTCCTTCTTCCCAAATGTGAAGGGGGGGGGGGACAGTGAGCTATCCTCTCCAGGATAGTTTATTTTTATAAACAGTAATAATATTTCTTTTGTATTTACAGGAGACCTGGAGAAGGAGAAAGAAAGACTGCAAAACATCTTAGCAACAGGAAAGGACAAAGTGGAGAAGAAAACTCAAAAGAAACCAGTCAAGGTAGAAGAAACAGTACTAGAGCTGGACCGATTTGATGAATGTAAGTAGACCTCCTTAGTTAAAAGGATGCACTCTGGTAGGGTTCATGCCATACATTAGCCTAGGATAAAAGGTTGGTTGTAGTTCAGGAACTCAAACATTTACACCCACAGGCACCACTGGAATACAGATATAATACAAAGAACTGCAATAGAAGGACTGTGGCAAAAGAAAGCAAAGATGGTACCAATAGTAATAGGTACATTATGTGCAATCCTAAAACAATTGGATCACTATTAGAACATCATCAGCACTGACAAAATCCCCATCAGTCAATTGTAAAAGGCAGCGGTACTTGAAACAGCTTACCTCCTGCAACAATACCTTTAACACTATCAAAAATTTGCCTATAACCAGTCCTTGAAAAGACTCAATTGATTGATAAAAATACCAAATCCAATGTAAATATTTGGCTGTGTGATGATCCCTAATTTATAATGCTAATCCACTTACTGAATTGGCATCATACATTGAAACAGAAGATAAGCAAACGTGCTATGTTCATATAGTATGCCATCACTAAAAACTAAGATTAGCTCTAACCAAGTTAGATGTTAGATCCACACCATTAGGATGTGTAAAATGCAGCTTCTAAGAATTGATCTGATCTGATTAAAGCATGTTCTATGAATACTGCCTGTTTGTAGCTAGTAGAGATTTATTCCCTCCCGCTTGTCTCCTTAAATTCTGAGCACTGTCAAATTGGTGACTTATGTGCTATATTGTCTTTGCAAAAGATTACTCATACTTCCAGGATGAAGCACAGAAAACAACCCTTATCCCACTAATGCAGTATGGCAGAATCATTACTTTAGCATAGTGTTGTAGACTACTACCCAGGATGACACCAAACCATTTGATGCAACAGTTTCTAGAATGCTTTGATATACAGAGGACTTCATGGTCGACTCAATGACTGTAAGGTGCCCAGGTCCTCTGGTTGTAAAATAAGCCCAAATCACCACCCTTCCACTACCGTGCTTGACAATTGGTATGAGATGTTTGTGCTGATATTTGGTGTTTGCCAAACATGGCACTGTGCATTATGGCCAAACATCTTTAATCTCATCTGTCTAAAGGACAGTGTTCTAGAAGACTTGTGATTTGTTCAGATGCAACTTTGCAAACCGAAGCTGTGCAGCCATGTTCTTTTTAGAAGAAAAGAGGCTTTCTCCTGGTAACCCTTCCAAAAAAACCATACTTTAGTTTTTTGTAATTGTACTGTCATGAACTTCAACATATAACATGCTATATGAAGCCTATAGAGTCTGAGATGTAACTCTTGGATTTTTTGCAATTTCTGTGACCTTTGCACGGCCTGACCTTGGGGTGAAGTTACTGAGACAGCCACTCCTGGGAAAATTGGAAACTGCCTTGAATGTTTTCCACTTGTGAATAATCTTCCTCACTGTAGAATGATGGATTTTAAATTGTTTGGAAATGGCCTTATAATCCTCCCCAGACTGATGGGCAGCAACAATTGTTTCTCTAAGATCATTGCTGATGTCTTTCCTCTTTGGCATTGTGTTAACACATACCTCAATACTGAAGACCAGCAAACTCCTAAACCTTGGGCTTTTATAGAGATAGTCACACTTGCTGATGATCAACTGATCGAGGATACTTGATTAGCAGCACCTGGCTGCTATTTAGCCTCTTCATAGCTATGAAAGCAGTAAGGCTGTACTTAGTTCTTCACATACAGCTGCTCTGTTTTGGCTTTCTTTTTGTAAAATAACATGGTGTAATATGTCATGTGTTCTTGTTCATCTGAGGTTAGATTTATCTACTTTTAAGAACTGCTAAGGACCAAATGATTTTTTTTACTATGTCCTGATATGTAAAACCATAGAACTCAAAGAGGGTGCACTTTCTTTTTCACATCACTATATATCACATTGCATCTATTTTCCCCCAATGGAAGCGGTGGTCATGAACAGGTTTAAATAGCATACAGAGAATTAAGGTAGCATGTTTCAGTGTTTTTTATTTCATGTTGATGCTGTTGCAAGCCTCCCAGGGTTATGACCCATAAGATGGGCTGCTACAGACGTCTTTTAAATAAAATAAATGGGAAATTAATTATTCAGACTTCAGAAGAACAACTATGTTCCTGCCCCTTAAGTCTTTCATTCCACATTGCTTCATTTGTCTTTGTGCTTAGTGGTGAATGAAATTCAAGATCGACAAAATTTCCTGTCAGAAATGGAAGCTTTGGGACAGAGCAAAGCGTATCAAGGAATTATCCAAACTGAAATATCACAGGTACTTCATAATTCTGACCTTAAATGCAATCTTTTTTTCATTTGAAAATTGGATATGATGATATTTTGAGAAAGTGTGAAAAGATTTGGCAGAGGGGCCTTTTAAAAATGTTAAAGTGGAGGTGGTAATACATCTTCATCTGGAGTAAGACTTGTGTATTACCTTGTAAGAAAATTAAAATTTATTGAATTCTTATTATGTTTCCTTTTTCTGCTGTTTGCAGAAGCTCCGGGAGATGGAGATGATTGACAAACAGAGAACAGCAGAACTAAAAGGGGCAATAGCCAAGTCTTTCAATATAGGCATCAAACATGACAATCCAAGCACGGTTCAAGTAGACCAATAGTTCCCCCCCCACCTCCCCCCACACCTAAGGATATAACTCCTTCTCCCTTACTTTTTCTGCAGACGTAAGAGAATGTGAAGAATATTTTATTAGTACAGTTTTTACTCTTTTGTGGCAAGTACCTATAGAATATATTTAATGTCCAGAAATATTTATGACTCTGGAAAAGTAGGAACAACCTGTTTCAATATGTAATGGCAGGAAGCCTTTTCAAAAATGTGATCCAGGAACAAAAGGATTCAAATGAATCACAAGGTTAGAATGAGCATCAGCTTGCTTGCCTTGACAAACAAGAGGAAAGGATTTCTACATACTTCATCTCTGGAAAAAAGCATCTATGTTTCTACCATTTATGTGCTGCTGTTTTTTAGAATTAGAATAGATCAAAAATATTTTATATATGATTCTGCCATCAACTGGGAAGCTGCTTCCACTCAAAATTTGTTTCTCACTCAGCATATAACTCTTAAGTGAACAGTGGTGACTCTATTGGAGTAAGAAAGAGAAAATTGGAAGATTTTAGATGGCAGTTATTTTTGATGAATGCTTCTTCAGTAAAATTACAGACATAGGACCATTTTCATTATGACTAAGTGACTGTTCACATGTCTGTCACTTGTTAAAAAAAGACTTAATATCACAAAAGTAATTGGACAGGAGTTAAGGGATGTTTTTTTCATTGACACACTTTTTGCTTTGGTCCAGTTCACTTTTGATAGCTGTATATTACTCCACTTGTAAAAAAAATAAATAAAAGTCCACAGAATTTTGTAATTTTCTATTTTTCATTCCATATACCGTAATGTATTGTGTTCACTTTCTGCCAAGACATCTCGAACTATAGAAACAAATACAAAATATAGTGGTTTTATTGGTTTTATTGATTTCATCTGTGCCCATCAGTGGAGATTGCAATTAACACAGGATAATTATGTTCACCGGAATCCGATATTTTCTGATGGGAATGTATCTGATGACATTTTAAAAGATTGACTGTTTTGTTTTTTATAAGAGAGAAAGTTATGCATTGGACCACCTTGTAGCTAAGAGCAAGAATCTTGTAGAGGCTGAGAAGGTGGTCCCAATCAGAGCTGACACCACCAATGAATTTGGTTCTGCTTTGAAAGGGTCTAACCCCTAACTGCTGCTTTCCAGATGTGTTGAATTATCCATCACCCCCAACTAATATTAAAATGATATACTGGCTGACAAGATGTAAATGGTAGTATAACACATCTGGAGGGCTCCAAGTTAGGGAGGGCATTCCAGGCTGAATATCTCAGTCAAGGACTATTTGCCAATTCATCACATTTGAATAAAGCAGCACAGCAATTTGCTAATATGAATTCAAACCAACACCTATAATATTATCAACATTTAACTCAGACCAAACAAACATCTCAATAAATAGTCCCTCAAGTTAAAGAAGCCAGAAGAGGAAAAAAAGATATTCTCCCCTCTGAATTCATACATACAAACAAAACTAAAACAAAGCTGAAAGTCAGGTAGAGGATGGGAGTTTGGCTACAAAAATTATAACTCTTAGGGGAAAAAAAACATGCCCATAAAACCTGAGGGGAGGGAGCTAAGAATGAATTACAATGGTACCTTGTTGATACTGAATACAGCCTGACATCCTCTTCTGGCCCTAATGTTTGGCAGGCAATGAGTTATTGTCCCAGTCTGCTGTGTCCCCTGATATATATAGCAGCAGCAGCAACTAATGGGATTAAAAAGATCCAGTTGTTTTCCATTCACACCTGGACAAATCTACCCTCTGATAGCATGGCTGGTCATGCTGGGAACTGCAATTTGCTTTACAACACATGCCATCGCTGTCTTAACCTTTCCTCTGAGGTTTGTTAATTGGTTGCCAAGACAATCGGCATTCACAGCATAGTATCTTCTTTGGTGGCAGAGAAATCTTCCAGAAATAGAGTATTGGTTAGATTTTTGGCTGTTTTTGCAGACTTTATAATAGACGTTTCTGGGGTCAATATATAGTATTTTAAAAACTTAAGCCCACAATAATAATCTGCCCTGAAAGCCCAATTTTTTTTTGAATGATCAAAGAAGAGAAAAAGAATAAGAAAAGGAATTCAGAAGAGATATCCAGAGGCTCCCAAACTGCAATGGGGATTCTCTTCTTCCTCCCTCCCCCAAGAAATTATTAGGCACATGTGACTATCACAGTTAAAGGAGAACAATTAGTGCAACTTTCCCCAAGACACTCATGATTAAAAGTTCTGAACAGTCAAAGATATAATAGGTGCACAACTGAGGAAGTCTAAAGCTATTTTATTTGTCCATTCCCATCCCACCTTGAAAGAGAAAATGGCAAACAGCTTCTTCCTCCATGTCTGCCCCTATGTAATGTGCTCATAAGACTTGCCATATTTCCCCCTTCTCTAGGCAAAGGAACACCTGCTGCTGGAAGGTAGTAGGATTTTTACAAGATAAAGCCAGCTTTGGTGTATGGCAAGGCACAACCTCTTTTTAAAAAATGGGCAAAAGCAGGAAGCCATCCTACTTGCCAGGTATGCCCAGCTAAATGGGGCTGAGCAGTCAAAGAGACTAGCAGCTCGTCCTTGCTCTTCTAGCTGCCAGCTGCTTTAGCTTTTTTCTTTGGGGGATCTGCTTTTTGAGTCAGGTTTATTTCCAAGTAACTTCAGCACTTTCATTGGTTTGAATTTTCCTTTCTTCTTGTTATCTGCCTCAGAGTCCCTGTGAAATTCTGGAGAGAGAAAGGATTAGGGTTAGTGGAATGCAATGTGGAGAGAGGAAGGGGAGATTAGGAGCAGAGAAAGCTCACTTAGAATCAGTTATACCAGTCAACTGTCTTTGCCTAAACTGAACAAAATTGCAAAGCTCTTGGTTTCAGAAACAATTCTTCCTAAGCCTACCTCCTCAAGCACTGAACTAGCCCAATGTCCTTTCTATACATATGGAAAGGCTTTCTTAGAATACAGATGCTTAAGCAATACGTCCAGAAAATGCCTCAATGACAGGATTTACAGGAATGTAAATTTTACATTTTAAAATTTATATTTAGTGATTGTAATATTCAAAACTTGTACATGCCTATTATCTAAGAATATAAATTTATTTATCTGCATGTTTTCTAAAATTTTGATCAGCTTGGAATCAGAGCTAGCAAAGTTTACAGAGGTAGCAAAGTTTACAGAATTTTGATCAGCTTGGAATCAGAGCTAGCAAAGTTTACAGAATCAGATTTTTTTTCCCTCCTGTATTGGATTAAGAAAGATTTTCAGATGGCAAATATTAAGACCACAACAGCCACTGAACATGTTCATTACTCAATCTGCACCACTCTGGGAATGAAAATAGAATCTCAATTTAGAATTATTACAGTGTGCTCAGAATCAACCGGCATGTATGCTGCGATTCTCCAGGTCAAAGAAAAAATTATGTTCTCTTGGCAATGAGCTGTTCTTGTTACAGAACAAGCTTCTAGTGTTTATGACTGAAAAAGTTTTGAAAACATAATAAAACCCCAGATCACAAAAGGAGCCTGGATTTCCAATATTTTGGGCAGAACTTCTATGACTTCTATCTGTTTTTGCTCCACAGCTATCAAAATCAATGTGAAATAACAAAATTAAGTGCACATCCCTAAAAAATGTTTATGACTTGCATTCTTTCCTTAAGATATCTGCTTCAAAGGAAAGGAGGATTGCCCTCTTCTAAACTGGCACTGGAGGAGAAAGGCAGATCTAGATTCATTGGTACAATTCCTCAGTTTACCTCCTCTTTTCACATAGCTTTCTCTGATCCCTAAGCTAAAAGTGATTTGCTACTCCTGTGTTAGCAAAGGGAAATACCCTTGACCGAAGAGCGGTACATTCCTTCTCTCTGGGATGGTCGTCCTCTTCCACCAAGCGTGCAGCTTCATGAGGGACGCACATGGAGAGCCAGATCAGCTAAATCAACCCTGGCGATCAATGGGGTGACAGATGTCGCAGCCAGATCACCCTCACATCCATCAATGGCAAAGGGAAAGAAGCTAAACCAACACAACTTCCCTCTCCCTTGGTTCATGGTAGCAAATGTGCTGCCCCTTTTGGCAAAGATGTTCCCTAACAACAGAGAAAGTGTGCCAACACCACATATTGCCAAAGCCAGTTTAGGATGAAGAAACATTACTTTATATTCCCCACTTCCAATTCCTCCCATCTGCAAGAAGCAAGAAGTGTACTTTGCTGCTATGATGTGTTGTGGAAAAGAGGGTAAGTTACCTAGATGTATTTGGTTTGTATTTTATACCTAATTATACAATTAGCTTTTGTCAGGATAGAACTGAAGTTGACTTGGGTACAGACATTTAACATATTTTGTACAGAAAACAAACATATTTAATTAGTAGTTGAACAACAATATCAGTGCATAATTCTGCAAACAACAACTGCATCTGAAACTGGGAAGTCTGACTGGATCTCATTCTTACCTTTTTTTTTAATCATGGCTTCCAACATTTTATCCTCCTCTTCCTCCCTAGCAAAACAAGAAAATCAGATTTTGTTTTAGTCAACGTAGCCAAAGTGGGATTGATTAGAACAACAACAAACCAGAGATGAGCTATTATTTGGTGTCTAAAGTCTGAATTTAATATTTAAGCAGGTGAAGATCCAAAGAGGGAAAATGCATCACACACATGCTGTGGCCTGGATTTTCAATTAAAAAAAGTTTTTAAGTTGTATTAAATCTATTTTGGGATATCCATTACAGTCTGTGAATGTATAGCTAATGGTGGCAGAGGATTCCTGGAGCCCACCCCTCTCCTACATATACTAACACTACTCTTTTGCTCAAATTACTAGCATCACCTGGCTTTGCTTATCAAAGAATTAATAGTAAGAATCACACATGCAATTATGCTTTGCGGTGCTACTATCAACATTTCTCAGGCCAATTGTTTGCAATGAACCAAAGATTCACCCATTTGCTTTTCATTTCACTACCTTTGCCGATCCTCATCCAGACTGTTAACAATGGCATTCCGTTGTTCAATAATGGTTACAAGCTCCTCCATCAATACTTTCTCTCTGATCCGGTCATCATCTGTCCAGTCTTTATCTAGCACGCAACAGAAAAAGAGGAGACATATTATATAATAAAGACAACTTATGGTCTATGAAATGTTACATGAGAAAAGTGATTTTGACCCCCCCCCCATTATGAGTCTTCTTTAATACGTATTATAAAGTGCTGAGACTGGGCAAAGTTTGCTTGTCTATCTTTCTGTATAGTGGCATCTTCAGTAACATAGCACCAGGATTCTGTAGAAATCCACTGCCATCAGAACAGGCTATAGTAGATTAATACTAGGCAGATTCCTATATTTTAGGTGCCTGAAAATGAACAATGAGCTGACCAAAAATATATTAAAAGGCGGGATTAAATAATAATAATCCGAAAACATTTGGATCACCACTTGAACACCATTGGTATCGACAAAATCACTATCAGTCAATTGCAAACGGCAGCTTTATTTGGAAGAGCTTGCATCCTGTGACAATACCTTTAACACGATCAAACAACATCTGCCTATCCCAGGTCCTTGGGAGATAATTGATAGGTGTATAAAAATGCCAAATCCAGTCTAAACATCTGGCTGATTATGTGACTATGATTATTATTATCATTTATATTAAAAGATCAACTGTGGACTCAATACACATTTGAATCAATTCATGAATCAGTAAGTTCTGATATCTTTCAACAGGTCATTACGCTTTCAGCCTACTTCTGGAGTTTGTTTGTTGGATTCTTGCTATTAGGGCAGAAATAGAGTGCATGCAGAAAAGCTGTTGGTAGAAACAGAGCCTCTCCTTTTATAGAACAGTACTCCCTGCTGGCAGCCAAGTTGTGTTGAAACAAATAAAAAACACAAAAAAGCAATAAACACAGCTCAGTTTTCCTACATGTAATTCCTCCCAGATGTGTCAAACTGTTAATTCTCAGTATTTCCCACCAGCAGAGCCCATGGATGATAATAATTGGATTAGGGAAGAGCCAAGCCTAGTGAGAAAACAGATGCTTATGATTTAAATAATTTCCTAATGCTACAACATATTTCATTTAAGATCATTTTTTAAAAAATCAAAAAGCAGGCCAACACCCTTTAAGACTTGCCAGGTTTATTAAGAAGACATCGCAGTTCATACTCCACATCAGCTTGACGCTGCTCCAAGTTCTGCTGCTTAAAACTCAAAGAAGAAACAGAGCGTGTATTATTGCCTTAATTATTGTAAAAACTGATATACCAACTTTAAGGACCAAGATAGTTCTCTCAAATCGGCAGTAAAAGAAAATAGGCTTTAGTCTCCTGCCTTTTTGTACAGTTTCTGCTATGTAAGAAAGAAACTGCTTATGGCTACCCCCATATTTGCATTTCTGTTGTCATTACTGAATTTGTCGCTATTGAATACTTAATGAAATCCAGGTAAATCACTTTTTTCAAAGGTCAAAAGAGCTACTTTGAATGTTTTACACTCTTTTCTCTGCCCTTCTTACACATAATCAGCTGTTTTGAAACAATATTGAATTAAATAGGTAAGCATTCATTTTTATGGAATATCCTTCAGGACTGTCCATAGGAGGGAAAGCCAGTTCAATGTCTGATGCCATGAGTTTGGCAGGAAAGTTGCTTAACAATAAAAGTGTGCTTCAACCAGAGGCTTAGAAAGTATCAGACATTGGTAGGTAGCAGGTGTGATGGGCTAAATAGCATTAAATTGTTTAGTTCTACCGTTTTAGCTTGGAAGATCTTGACAAGAAATGATTCCTGAATCATCTAGATTCTGCTATGTTACTTCTATTTCTGTAGAATATTTGAGGGTGATTTTATTTCTGATTATATTGCTCCAAGATTCTGCCATAATTTTCCAGGGATATCAGTGGCATATAGGTAAATGAAAAAAACACTAGCCCATTTTGCTTCTATTCTGGGCTCCATGTGCAGGAAACTGCCCAGCTAATAAACTGCAGGCATTTTAGAAGGAGAGCCATATTGATTTATAGTGGCGAAAAATCTAAAGTCTAATAGCACTGTTTCTGACTAATAAATTTTATTAATTCATAAACTTTCATGAGCTGCAGCTCACATAACCAGATGCATAAATGAGGTGAACTGTGGCTTATGGAAATTTAATGAGTTTTAATAAAATTTATTTAAAATCATTAAGTTTCAGGAAAAGTGCTATCAGATTATTGAATTTTTTTTGCCAGCCAACAAATATAATTCATAGCATATTTATTCAAAAGTAAGTCTCACTGGACTCAATACATTAATAAGCATGTTTGAGATTGCAGCTTAAGTCAATTATTTGTACTCACATATAGATAAGTTCAGACTCCCGACGCACTAGCATATGTTTCTCATGAATCAGCTTAAACCAATCCACCAGCAAACCATCTTCAGGGACATCTGCCAATTACAAACAGGGACAGAGTGAGGTCAGAAAAACACATTTCCTTTCCTTGTCCAGCCTTACGAGTAGTATCAGCTATCCTACCATTCTCTATACTACGGAGTTTTCTTTCCAGCTCAACTCCTCGGTGTTCTAACTCATCCAGCTGCTGCTCAATGCTGTCCATCTCACCATAAATATTCTCCACTGGGACGTACTGATCTGACTGAACCTATAAAAAAAAAAAGGAACCATATATTTTATTCCAAACAAAAAAGCATCAGCTATTTCCAGAGTAGGCAGAGAGGAATATAGTTACTGATAATGAGCCGAAAGCAGGACAGGAGGGAGAAAATACAACATGCCAAGTTCCTTCTGACTTCTTGCCTAAAACAGACATTGACTGCCTAGTTCCTTCACAACCATGAAAGGTAGGCAGGGAGGGGTTTATTTTATTTAACTAAACATTCATGCCTAAGGAAGTAAATTCACTGTTATCAGGAATCAGACTTCCCCCCACCCCATTCCATTGTGTCCGATTCTCAGATTGCCTGGACAAATCCCTGAAGTTTTCTTGACAAGGTTTTTCAGAAGTGGTTTGCCATTGCCTCCTTCCTAGGGCTGATACAAAGTGACTTGCCCAAGGTCACCCAGCTGCCTTTATGCCTGAGGCGGAATTAGAATTCACGGTTTCCCAGTTTCTAGCCTGATGCCTTAACCACTACACCAAATTCACTCTCAACTTATGTCATTCTTTATGTTGTTTTATATAAAAGCTTAGGCAACTCTAGTCAAACTGTACATTTCAGTAAGAAGTTGGCATAGTCCGTACATGATACAAAGCTAAAATACGTATTTCTACAAATCTGAATGCATGCATATTATCTATGTATATCTATTTGTAGATTTAAAGTAAGGAAAGAATGAATATTGCATGCAGAGTTTGGGAGCACCCTTTTAGTCACCACTCGTAACACAGCCTTGAAAGAATGGAAAACTTCCAAGTGTTTCCTGTAGTCAGATAAGTATCTTTGTTGTTGGAATTTTTTTCCATCTTCTTGCTGGAACTCTTCTAGCTTAAAAATTCTTTTAGGAAGTTTGAGATCTCCACACAGAATCTCAATAATGTTCCAGTCTGGGGACCGTGAAGGCACTGAAATATACTATTTGACCAAGTTTACCTAAATTTATGCATGCAGCTGTAATTTTGACTATGGCAATAACAATATATGGAAATCATTATAAAAAGAGAATTGGAGGTTGGAATGTTCGACCCAAGTTCTAAGGCCACAATTTTGGAACCTGAGACAGTGACTTTTACTTTAGTGCAGTCTTCAGAAGAAGCCACTATACCATTACATAGTAACACACTTCCTTATAGCATCTCTTGGCAGCTCTCTTATGCTGGGCCCCTTTGAGGTATGTGAAGTTCAACTCCCAAAATTTGCCACCCACAATCGGCATTGATGAAAATTCTGGAAAATGAAGATTATCTGGAGGATGTCCAGGATGGGAAAAGCTATTTTAGTATTCAATCCCTCTCTTAAGAGGTTAGTAACCCTCTTCCAACATCTGTAAAAAAAAAAAAAAGGAAGTTCAGGAAGCACCATGCAAAAATACTTCCCCATTTTTCCCCAATCCTAATTACCTTCCGTTTGATTAGTGGGAAACCATGTCCAGGAGCAGGAGGCCTTGCTGGTTTGGGTCCCTTTGAAGCTTTCTTAATAGAGGGGGAAGCAGAAGGTGATGGCTTCCGGTTGAAAGGATTCTCCTTACAGGATGACTAGGTACAAACACATAAAACAGATAAAAACACATGTTGTGATTTTGGGTTGCATCCTCATTCTTTAACAGAAATGCTCCACATGCATGGCTAAAGAGTGTATCTCCTTCAAAAAATGAGGAATTTTCTCCTCCAGATCAAATAAGTAGGAACAAATGAGTGTATTGTCCAGGTCATTTTACATCAAGATGAATATGAAATTTCTGAGAAAGGAAAAGTAAGCACTATAAGAAGTCACAAGTACTGTGGGCACCCTCAAGGATTAGACAGATTTTTCTGTCAACATTAAAACCAAAAAGCTAAATTGCACTTAAACTGTTAATCCATCTTTTAGAATCTAACGGACAACTTCTCATCACAATTTAAGATAACAGTCCTGCCAGCCCTAATGTTTAATTGACAGCTTGAATTTGTACAGCAAGATTTAATTCAGAAACTGAATGTTGAGCAATGTATTTTGTTTGCTTGTTCGTATTAGGTAAGAGATACAGACTCTTTAGGTGGTATGGAATCACTGCATAAAGATCTAAAAGTACCATTAGGTAACTATCTTATAACATAGGTACATCTAGTTCAGTTTTATTATTACTGACTAGTTTTCTCAGATTTCACGATGAAGTCCTCCCAGCCCTACCCTATCCTTAGTATGCAAAGTATCCATTATTGAGCTATGGTCCTTCCCTGTAGGGCAGTTTTTGTCTTCTCTAGTTTACATAATTTTTCCCATAATCATTTCTGGGGAAATAATTCAGAAGAAAATAAATGAACTTCTTGGTGAAGGCATTGTCTAGAGCAGGGGTAGGCAACCTTGACTTTTATGACTTGTGGACTTCAACTCCCAAAATTCCTGAGTCAGCATGGCTGGTTAAGGAATTCTGGGTATTGAAGTCCACAAGTCATAAAAGAGCCAAGGTTGCCTACTCCTGGTCTAGAGTATCCTTATTAATCAAAGTGAGATCGATTTTTAGTCTCCAAATGAGCCTAGTTCTTTAACCCTCTGCAGAAAACCAATTTGTGGTCAAAAGCGAACCAAATAATTTTTAAAATGGCCAGTTCTAAACAGAACTTCCAAACCAAATATCATTGGCCCTAATTCTAAATGATGCCAAGAAACCAAAGAAGCATTTCATGGATAAAGATAGAATTGTCTGAATACTTTATAGTATTGTCATAGAAAGACATGTATATCAATGAATAGCTTTGGTAGGGGAAGTCAGGGGAGAGAAAGGGAAGGAAGGAAAAAAACAGAGAGCTTCTAGCTATGCTTGCTACCTACCTTTGGCTGTGCTTTGGGTGAAGGAGAGTTACTTGCAGACCCACTGTTCAACTCTGATGCCAAGAGAATGGGTGTGGGAGATGCTCCAGCAGGAGGCTTAGGAAACATATTCCCAGGGCTGGTTTTCAAGTTCCCAGACGAACAAGTTCTGGCAGTCTGTAAATGTCCACCTTGTGCCTCATCACCGTAGCCCGTCAAATCACTGGATGATGATAAGGAGGAATCAGCAGAACAGCCAGGCAGAACTGCAGGGCCCTCACCAGAAGGGACACTGATAAGTGGGGAGTCCGAGTGGGAAAGGATGGAAGCAGCTGGAGCATGGACTGTAGGCTCAGAGGAGCTCTTCAGCACAGAAGCATCATTTAGGTTATCAGCAGCCTTGGCCAAACACTCAGATGTGATACTCTCCAAGCTGGGGGCTGGAGATGGCGTGGAAGAAGATGGTTCTGAGTGGGAAAGCCTGGAGATGGGATGGTGAGCTGCAATAGGAAAGACACAGTTTGGAGGTAGTATGAAGAATCTTTTGGCTAGTCAGGTCCATCGATGGAAGTCCTGCAGCATAAGCCCTAGTGGCAGAAGAGCACCATACTTCAAGTTCCCACCCTTTTGTCGCTTAAGGATGTGCAACCTTCTCCAAAATAAAGGCTACGCTCCAGAAAGGCCATTCCAAAAGTAGATGAGGCCTGAACGAAACAGTACTTGGAAAGAAAACAATTTCTAATTTAAATTAAATTATGTTGATTTTATTATTAAGATATTTAATAATTTCTCTCTTCTATTGCATAACCTTACATTTCAGCAGCAGTGTTGTGAGGGCTCCCCTCAGGTTTTTGAAGACCGCACAAGACCATGAAATTCAGGTCATGCACCACTGCTCTGTGCCCTCCAAACTATAGTGGGTAAAAACAGAGGGGAAAGGGAAGAAATGAAAATACCTAGAGGAAAAAAAACTAGGCAAGTCCTTCCCAGTCTTTAAGCTGCAGATCAGTTAAGTTTCATTAATAACACACCTTTAAAAAAATAGGAGGAAAGAAGAGACTATACAGCATCTTGTCTTTAGATGAAGAATGAAAATTTATTTTCAAGACTGAATGCGGGAGGGGAAGTTACCATCTCAAAAGTCCTTCACTAAGGATCAGAAGAGAAATGGAGGAGAGGGGAGAAAATATTCAACAATAGCTCTCTGCCATTTCCTTAGTCCTTCAAGAGTAACCGGGGAAGGACTAGGTAAATGCATTTGTTTTGGAAACAACTGAAAGATCAAATCACCTGTGATCTATACTGTAAAAAAGAAAGGGATTTTTTTTTTCCATTTTAAAACATGCTGAAAAAACTCACCAAGTGGGGAGGCACTGGGTGCTCTTGGAGCCGGTCGCTTCTTTGTCTTGGGGCTGCTTGTAGGAGTAATGCCGTACCAGGGATGAGCAGGTTTGAGACCACCCTCCCCCTCCCTTTGATCTTGCTTTGGCGTGCTCTGTGGTATGAAAACTTCCTTCTCGTCCTCTTCCTCTTCTTCATCTTCAAAGGGATTATAAGGTTTTGGCTCCTCCAGAACAGGCCTCTCTTCTCTGATTTGTGCTTTTCCTTCTTCTACTCTCTCTTCGTTCTCTTCAAAGGCCACTGGTGAGCTTTCCTTGCTATTGCCTGGTGGTAGAGGAGCCGGCTTCTTCCTGGCTTCTGCCTGAACCAGTGCAATCCATGGAGGGTCTCGAGGTTTTAACAATTCACCAGCGCTGGTCAGAGGGCAAAAAAAGGATAGAACATAAGGAAGGATGAAAGGGAAAACTGGAATCCCAGCACCTAGAAAGTTCTCCGTGAGTAGAGAAAGATAGGCAGATGAGTTCCTGTGTATCCTTGAGAAAAAAACAAGATGCACTTTCTGATATGTATAAATCTAAATATTCTGCAAGTGTGCTACACAACACACAGAAAAGCTATAGAGGAATAGCTAAACACAAAATAATTATTCCTGCAATTTCATTTTGTCTTTCATTTTTATTTTGTAAGTTTATATCCTTCCGGCTTGCAAGTACAAATTTAAAAATGAATGATAACAAGAACAGAAATTGTTTCAGAGGAACAAAATGGATTTCTTCTCCATGCACACTTTCAGCTCTTCTTCAGAGGTAAAAGAAGCAAAACTAATTTAAATGTTATGGTTAGCTCCCACACTGATAAAGATTCAGTAGATAGTTATGTAAATGGCCAGCTGCACGTTTTCCTCTGATAAGTGAAAAAAAACAGCTCCCACAGAATAATGGAAAGGCTGCTAGAAAGAAACTAAAAAAAGCATTTACCTTAATGTATTATTGGATAAACTGTTTTCTCGGTGGGAAATAGTTCTGTTGCTATCCTTTTCATCTCAATAAATCATGCTAAAGAAGACTCCGTGGGAAGCTTGCTTGGAAAGATTTACTTGGGTTTCACGCAACTGCCAAAGAGCCTGACAGTAAACTAACTCAGACTAAAAGCCTGCAGTGAAATAACTGTTTAATTCAAATGTGTATATAAAGCTCAATAACTCACATATCCCTGCAGATTTTAGCCTTCAATATTCTACAATGTGGGTATAAGTAATAAGATCTCTTAAAAGGATGTAAATAAGCCTTTTATAACTCTGGAATTCCAGAAGTTTAAAACTACAATACTTACCATCCCTGACCAGTAGAAGAGCTGACTAAAGACAATGAATGTTAAGAGTTCAACAACATATGCAGATCCAAAGTTAGAATATTTGAGAAAGCAAACCTCTTGCCACTTTGTCTCCTGCCAATAATTTATAACTCTGCTTTCTCAGTCTCCTCAGACCTACATTTCTTCATTTCTCAAAACTCAATTCCTGAATACTTCCTTCAGATTCTCTCTACATTGTCTTGAATCTCAAGGATCCTTTCCTTTCTTTCCCTCTGGTCTATGACCTTTTCTTAAGTCCAACACTAAATAATTTTCCTTCCCTGAACTGAAAATTGTTTAGTTCAATGAGCAAGTTAAGTTTAGGGGTATGTATATTCCAGCACTATTCGTTCTGATCCAAAGATTGCTGTTCTGAATCTTCTGAGCTTGGAAGAGAACACAACCTTTGAGTATTTTGTTTCAAGTATGGATTAAAATGTGCTGGTTTTCCCTAATAAAAAAACAAAATGCCTCTTTTCGAACAATACTTTTTCAAGTACTGCATGATATTCTAGGCAATATGAATGGAATGATGCTTTACAACTAAGTTCTTACCTTTTAAATTTTTCTGCCTGGGCAAATATAGCATTATATGTCTATTGTTATTGATTCAAAATAGATGGTGAAATCTGATGGATGGAAAACTGCAAGCATTTAAGGGGCACTAAAGGAATCATTCTGGAACTATTACTGGCAAGAGACTAAAGAGAAAAAACCAGGAATTGCTGCAAGGCACCTATAGTTGGATTGCTCTCATGCTGATGAGAAGCATATCTGTGGCCTGCCCATATTCTCCATTCCTTCCATCCCATTTTAGCTTAAGTATGCATTTTTTTTAGCTTTAGAGCAGTGCAGGGGGAAATATTAAAGGGAAGGAGAAAGACACAAGTATTTCTTCACTTCCTTGCTTTTCAATTTAGCCTTTTTTTTTTTTTTTGAGTTTTCAATGTTTCCCACATTTTCCAATCTCTCCCTTCTTCCCACTCCAAATAAAGCTGGCTTGTTTACTTGGGAGAATGTAATTCTTCTAATTAGCTGTTGCATGTACACTACTAATGATAGTGCACTGAGATTTGCAATCCAAATACACTCTTTTACTTAGACTGTAAACAACATTTTGACTTTCAATAAGCCCACTTCCTTGTTATCTACTGGTTAGCTACCAATGAGGCTCAAGAGAAGCATCACCTTCTTTCTCTTGAATCCAATTCATACCATTTCGAGACATGGATTAGCAAGTGAAGTCTTCTAAACATCTTTTGACCTCAGGGATGATCAAATATCTATTTAGGCTTCATCCATTCTTCCTTATCTCAAGTAGCAGTAGGAAACCTATGATGTTCAACATCTTTTCTAAACTGAGCCAGGTAATTTTATAATGACTAAGGTAGGCATTAGGTGCATGTAACAAGATGGTTACACTAATAATTACACTAATTACATCACCTGCCCATACTTCATTCACTACTTCAGTGGGCAGGTGGTACTCCCTGCATCAGTGTTGCAATGAGGGAGTGATGAGAATCATGTGGAATATATATGTGTCTTATGATTCCTACAGAATGCACTAATCGTGGAACAAGACTGAGGCATCATTTGCCAATCTAAACTTCAGCAGATATCCTTATCCAGATCAGGCATATTTAGGGGACTGCTTTATGCTGAGCTGCTAGATGTAGCTCAAAGGTGAATGTAGCCATGAACAATATAAGGCAGGGATCTCTAAACCATGGCCTTATGATCAGCAGCAGTAAGTCAATACGTGATGGCCAATCTGTCAGACACTATCGGATTCAGCTGTGTTGGCTGCTGGATATGTACAATATATACTATACTGTTCATGTTCTGGGAGGGAGTGAGGAAAGAAGGAAGGAAAATTGGTAACAGATTTCCCTCCCCCTCAATATGATTTGCAATAAAAGAATATACCGGTCTGAGGAAGTAGGTCTGCTCCTGGGCTTTGGAACTGGAGGGCTGAGCTCAGGAAGTCTACCTGTTCCAGAAATGAAGAAGACATAATTATGTGTTACACTCTAAAACCACTTCCAAAACCATTAAACTGTGATTATTATTTTTTTAAATCTACTCTTTGCCTTTATGCCTAGGAATGAAAACTTGGCTATGCATCTATTCAGTATCTTACATTAAAGGGGGAGGTTTTCTGGAGGAAGATGCACTTTCTCTCATTTCTGGACTTGGCCATAATTCTTCTGCACATGCTTAAAAGCCAAAAGCCCTTTGAACGTATAGTACTATAATGCACATCATCCCAACTAGGATGGCCACTGCCAGTAGGGAATGATGGATATTCTGGCCCAATTGATGGGAAGGCACCAGATTAGGGATACCCAAGGAATAGCCATTTGTCATTTTCCACAATCTTTCTATGTATTTCATATATCAAGCTTTCCTAGTCATCATCAGGTTTTCAATCAGGACTTCAGACTACAAAGAAATATTAAAGTAAAATATTATTAAACTATGGGTATTAAAGTAGGCCAGGTTTTCCTAACCTGTGTCTTCCAAATGTGTTCCATTACAATTCCTATAATCCCAAATCAGAATGACCATACTGAGATCTGTTACCTAAAACATGTGGAAGGCACCAGACTTTGCTGGAGCAAGCAATACAAAACTGAATGAACGCTTATCTGCTCTATCATAAAATGTTTTAGAAAAACATTTCCTTTGAGAAAAAAAATCCAATATAAATACATGTCAGTATTCCTTGTTTCTATAAAAGATGCACATTTTTCTTACTTTGGCATGGCCTCACGATACAGGATTACAAGGAGTCCAGTTAGAAGGTTTAAATTACTTCCTGTGTCCATATTTCCTTACCATTGACCAAACCAGATGGTGACTCACTGGAACTCTCATTTTGCATATTGGCTCTGGGCCTTGGGACAGGATGCAAGCTCAGTGGCGACAGACTGGCTGGATCTGTGCTCCTCCGAGGGGCAGGGGTGGGTCGAGGCTCTTTGAGCTGCCCATGTTGCAGGCTAACCTTTTCTTGGATAAGTGTTGGTGGCTTGGTTGGTACAGGCGGCTTGGGAGGTATCTTTAAGCAAAACCCAGAACTGGAAGTGGAAGTGGGCACTTCATTCTTTGACTGGGGATAAGGTATCTCAAGCTCTGTGTTCACTTCATTAACAGTTCTTTCCCCCATTTTGCCCATCTCTTCCTTAGCTGATGAGTGACTTTCTGATATGCCATTCTTTTCTTCCGTCTCATTACTCATTGTCCCAGCTTCTGTACTTTCCTTTCCAAGTAGAGGTTCTGGAGTTAGCTGGTGCTCGGTCCTCCCACTCAGTATGCTCAGCTTACCACGATGGTGGGTACACACAAATGTGCCCAATTCAGGTCCAGGTTTGTAAGATCCAGGAATGAGCGTGCTGGAGCATTCCTTGCATCTGCCAGAGAGGTGAATCCATGATCAGAAAGAGAAGACAAAGAGGAAAACTCTCAGGTTCTTGCTTGACTTTTGATAATAGGAGCACCCAAACAAAATAAAATTCAATCCATGATTTTGCTACAGATACACTCAGAGACTGGGGAAAATCACTTATCATTTTTTATCAGTTCCCATCATCCCCACTTTTAAGCGACAAGAGCAGGTGGGTGGCAAAAGTTTTGCTTCACACACCAATACAAGTAGCACAGGCATTTTGCTGTTTCCCTCTCCCATAGTAGTTTTTTTTTTTTTTCTATTGCTTCATCACATTGAAACCTGTAAAAAGAAAAAAAAAACTATGCCAACTCCTAGGCTATTGTAAATTCAGGTCCCACATCTTGGAAGACTATAAAATTTTGAATATAGCAGATCCAAAACTGCCACCTCCAACAATGCCCACATAAAGACCAAATAACAGGAGTGACAATATTTTTGTTATTAAGCCTGTAATATTTTGTGTGGTTATATTGTAAGGTTCCATCTCACCTTCCCTTGGAGAGCTTCTCTTTATTGAAGTAGCACATCCCACCCTAATTTCCTGTATCTGACCTTACTGCTTGTAGAAATTGAAATCCACAATTATTCTCCAACATGAATAACATGGAAAACTGGTTTTTAAAATTGTATTCATAGTACTGCGTTCATGTTTTGCCTTTTCTCTGAGAGCTCAAGATTATGTGAAGAGGGTGGGCTGTTTCCCCTAATTTTATCCCCACAACAATATGTGATGTGAACCTGTGACAGCTCCACAGTAAGTAGTGAACTCTCTGCTCTAACTCCTTAACCACTGTGCTACCCGACAATGGCTTAAAGCAGGTCAGACCTGAAGGTTTTAGGGTTTGCTACTCAACAAGACAGTCTCATAGAGCTGAAAATGACACTACTGAATTTAATAATAATAATAAAGTTGGAAGGGGCCTTAGAGGTCATCTAGTCCAACCCCCTGCTCAGGCGGGCAGGAAACCCTGCATCATTTTGGACAGATAGCTGTCCAGTCTCTTCTTAAAAACTTCCAGTGTTGGAGCATTCACCGCTTCTGGAGGCAGGTTGTTCCACTGGTTAATTGTTCTAACTGTCAGGAAGTTTCTCCTTAGTTCTAGGTTGCTTCTCTCCTTGATTAGTTTCCATCCGTTGCTTCTTGTCCTGCCTTCAGGCGCCTTGGAAAATAGCTTGACTGCCTCTTCTTTGTGGCAGCCCCTGAGATACTGGAACACTGCTATCATGTCCCCCTCGTCCTTCTCTTCATTAAAATAGACATACCCAATTCCAGCAGCCATTCCTTATATGCTTTAGCCTCCAGTCCCCTAATCATCTTTGTTGCTCTTCTCTGTACTCTTTCTAGAGTCTCAGCATCTTTTTTACATCGTGGTGACCAAAACTGGATGCAGCATTCCTTAAATTCCTGTATCAGACAGTCCAGAAAAATCAAAATAGGGTTTCTCTTTATTTCTTTCAAAGGTACAAATTATGGGATTCATTTAAGCCTAGGAAACTGGAGATGATCTTATTTTTTCTTCTTTTTTAAAAACAAATAACACGGTAACATAGTAAACTATAAAGACATCACGGGCTCAGGATTGAAAAAGTAAGAGGTGTTCTAAGTTACCTGGCACAACTACATACTTTTTCTACTGAACTACAGATGAGAGACCCGTTTTCAGTGGGCTTTGATAGGAAGAGCTCACCTGAAACACTGACGGTGGTAAAGTTTGCCCTCAACCAAATAGCGCTGAACCAGGTGAACGTGTTGTTGGCAAGCTGCACAAGTGCTGCTAAGGGAAGTGTGCGAGGATTCCTCTGTCAGGTTTTCAGTAACACTGTCCTGAGACAACAAGAATTGAGATGTGAATGTCTCCATAAACTGTGATTTATGCAGACTTGAGACCAAGAGCTGGCTTTTCGGTTAAGGATATGAAAGACACAAAAAACATAGAATAATCTTTTTTTAACCTTCTCTCAAAGTTGCTAGGTTGATGAAGGCACGGGAGGAGTTTTTACAGTGCCTTAAAGTGATACTTATAAAATGCCACCCAGAGTTGTTTTGATATGAGATGGGCAGCAAATAAATGTAAAAAATAAAAACAGATAAAATAAAATACTTCTAAAATGACTTGATGCCATCTCTCAAAACTTATTTATTGATCCAAAAGTGACTATTTTGTTCAGAGGTACAATTGTAGCTGGGCTTTTAGCATTTTGGAATGGATGTTTTACTTTTTGTCATTTTAACACTGAGAGCTGATGAATATTAATATTGGTCTAATTTATGCTTTGTTTCTTTGTGTGTGTATCAGTCATCCCGGGACAAGTTTTAACCTAAAAAGATTTTACATTTTTAAAAGAAAGCAATATAATTAGGGATATCCTCCCCTCTCCTTCCCATCCAATCATATCTAATTCTCAGAGAAGTCCCTGTGGTTTTCTTGGCAGAACTGGTTTGCCATTGCCTCCTTCCTAGGGATGAGAGAATGTGACTGGCACAAGATGACCCAGGTGGCTTTGATCTAAGGGAGGGGATTAGAAGTTACAGTTTCCCAGTTTCTAGACCAGGGGTGTCAAACTGACGGCCCATGGGCCAGTTTCATCATACTGGAGCCACGCCCACCCCAGTGCCGGCAACGGCGAAAAAGCTCTGATAAGTTGCGCGACATCACATGACGTCGCGAGTTTGACATGTCTGTTCTAGATTGATGCCTTAACCACTACAAACTGGCTTTATATATAAACACTATATCCCACTTTTGGATTCTGTGTGCAAACATAGTATCTGCTTCTTTACGTATAATTTTCTTCTGAACCATAAAGCCCTTAAGCATATTTCTAATTCACAGGTGTCATTATTTTTCACTCAGTGTACATTTCTTTAATAAAACCATATGCATCTGTAGGCACTAAACTATGGAGACAAAGCAATCAAAGTAATAATGTGAACAATTAAAAGGGCTTATTCTTTGCAGACATTCAAGATTTGTTTTTCTTTGGCTTAGTCCAGTGATGGCGAACCTTTTAGAGACCAAGTGCCCAAAAACTGGCCCCGCCCCAATCCATTCCCTGCCCCGCCCCTGCTCCACTCCGTCCCCACCCCGCCTGCCCGTAGGACCACTCACTGCCTCCAGGGCCACAGATCGCCCAGACAGCCCAGCAGCGCCATGGCGGCCACACCCTCTGGCCACGCCCTGCAGCATCAACTGTGCGGGATGGGGCGTGAGGGCAGAGTCTTGTCTACACTGCCTGGCTACCATGTCCTTGGCTGCACTGCTCTGTGTGGGCCACGCTCGGAAGCGACTCTCCTCCAGGGGGGCTGCTGGTGAGGGGGTCGTGGGGGGAGGCGAGGCTGGGGCAACGGGACGTGTGCCCACAGAGAAGGCTCCGAGTGCCGCCTCTGGCACACATGCCATAGGTTCGCCACCACTGGCTTAGTCCTATGAAACTGTTAATACTGAAAATTTCAGACTAAGATTTATTGAAGGAAACAAAAGCATTAGCTTTGGTAGGCACTGGTTCCTGGAGATATCCAAATCAATGAAGAGTCTTATTATTCTGCAACTCTGAGGCAACCTTGGATGCAGCTTTTCCTCATGTAACTGATGTGTGGTTTGAGATGTATAAAACATACAAGTTCAACATCGCTACTATTTCTCTCTAGCAAACATTTTTACCCCAGTCTCTGGGACCCACCCCCCAAAAAAGAATATTTATCGATGTTTAATATAAAATAAATTAAATGGGATTACTGATTTTGCAAATGCGTTAATAACTGAGGTGTGCTAAGTGGCAATTATTGTAACTCAAGCATTGTGGGGTCTTTGACAACCTGTATTTGTATAATCCGAGACAGACAACATAAGCATTTATCAAGTTTGTATTGGTGTATCATACATGGCGTGATGAAGGAGGAATTTAAGTATAATCATAAAACCCACAAAAAGATGTTAAGTGATCAACAAAACCCATAATTGTAAAGAAGACAGAAGAGGATGAGTTGTTAAATCAGGCATTTCAAATTGCTTTTTCTTAAAGAACACTGATTCAGAAGCAAGTGCCTAAAATAGATTGGAGAGACCAAACAATCTCCAGTTTGATCAAACTGAATACCTGGGATGTAGATGTAGAAGTATTTTCAAGTACAGCCAAAGGTTTGTGAGCTGGCAGAGTCAGTGAGGAGGCAACAGCTGGGTGTTTCATAGGCATGGAGACTCTGGCTGCAAAAATGAGAGAAAAGGGGAATTAATCTGTGAGGCAATAGATAAGTAAAAAAAATAAGGTATGGAGCAACTTTTCTCTAGTCAGTTAGGCTAATTCCTGGTACCTTTACATTAGGTTGGGGATATTGCCTTAAACATCCTCCAGTATATGTGGTATAGCTACAAATTATTTTGCCAGAGGCAAGCATTCCATGTCTTTTAAGGATCCAGAAGTACACATCTTTTTTAAAAAATTGTTACTTGCACTTAATTCTCTCCTACAATGCTTTACTTTTTCTGTGCACTGAGAAAAATGAAGAAAATTCTGCCTCTCCTGTAAAAGATCTTAGGTAAAGGAGAGAGCCAGGGTGAAATATGAAAATAGTCAAAGCACACCTGAGTTGCATTACAGGTTCAAGCCAATATTCCACCCACAACCTTAGGACCAAAGTCCAAAGGAAAGGGTGGCAGAGTCTTTTTATATTCCATTATTATTTCAGACATATTTGGAAGGAAGACCACAGCCAGCTCTAACATTAAGCAAGGTCATAAAGGGATAGCTAAGCTTTTTGAACATATTACTTATCCTTTTTTACTGCCATAAGTAAGAAGTATCATTAATGGGACTTTGGGAGGCTTAATTGGTTATGGTCTTAGTACCTACAGTACACACTAACACCAAACTCAGAGCTTTTTAAAATTTCATTCTGCTTACTAAGAGATGTTTACCATTGGCAAATAACATTATGGATTCCTGGAGAGTCCACAGCCTCTAGCAAGGGTTAGGAAACTAGTTTTGCCACATCAAAGGAAATGAAGGAACTCTTCCTCCTCAATATATAATTATCTCTGGTATAAATAACCTGTTGAAGCTCTCACCTTGGGTGGGGTTGTTAAAATGGTTGTAATACTGGGACACATATGTCATGATGCTGAGGCAGTCAGGAACTCTCATGGAGACCATATCATTGGGATCCAGCAAGGCAGGGATCCCCAATTCTTGTTCAGCCACTTCAAATGCCTGTCAAAGCAATCAGGAGAGAACAGTTAGTTGATGGAGAGGCAGATGCACTCTAGTGCAGGGAACTCCACACTTGGCAACTTTAAGACTTGTGGACTTTAACTCCCAGAATTCCTCAGCCAGTTGTTCCCTGCTCTAGTCTAGTGGATCAACATGATCAACAAAGAAAGAGAAAAATGTCAAGACAGACATTTGACAGAAAAAATACTGTCAAGAATAATCAAGAATACTGATCATATATAATCAACTGAATTAATTTGAATTAATTTTCACTACACTTAAATTAAATCAAACTTAATTTTGTCCACCACATTAGGGGCATTATTCATAAGTAAAATAAGACTCACAAGCCTGTAAATCATCACTGATTTATAATCACTTCAGTATAAGAGAGGAGTTTCCACTTTGCCCATTAGTAAGCAAGGAGCAGGCCATGCTATTCCAGAATACTCAGAATGGCCTGATATGAAGTCAAACCTTCCATATTAGGATCATGACTTTGTGCAATATTGAGAATGGTTATGTTTGAGAGTGGAATGGTCTGCATAATCCTAGTTATACCATCTTTTGAGTCTCTTTACATCAGAGAATTGTACATGTATAGTATTTCTGTTTCCACATATGTTTGGCTGTAGTCGGAGTGAAACAAACTGACCCATAATTAAAAAGATAATAATGATGTAATAGTTAGTGTATCAGGCTATGATTAAGACAACTCAGCTTCAAATTCCTATTTAGCTACAAAGCTAATCACATGCTCTGGGGCAAATCAGCTTTCAGCCTGATTTATTTTGGCATGAATAAAATGGAGATTGATGGAACGCAAAAGCAATAAAAGAATGAATGTAAAGGTAATAAACATAAAACAAACAAACATATAAAAAGTGATGGAAAACAATATGTTCTGTTTTTCCCATGTATATCTTGTGGCAGGCCCCTTTGCCTCCTTTGAGTTGTTATATACATCACAATATCCCTTTTCTTTCCAACACTAAAATTCCTGCTGAATCCTCCTCCAAATGTTGACTGCACAAAAAATTGCTTTTAAAAAAAATTATACAACTAAATATGCTTTAATTAAAAAGAAGTTATGGTGATACACTCCTAATGGGCAAATGAAATTACCAAGACAAAGTATTTCCAGTCATAAGCAATTACCAGGGACAGTGAGTGAAGCAGAAATAAAAGAGATTAATGAAAATGCAGATTTGCTTCTTATATAATCCATTACAGTAAATGGAATGTTGGACTGTTGACTAATTCTCAGCTGAACTAAAATCTAACTGGATAAATCAATCAGTGCTCCTTAATCTAAGAAAACCAAAGCTTAACTGCTTTTACATAAAAATTATAATGGGAAGTATTTGTAATTTATGGTTACATTATAATTACAAATAATTTAACCTTCCTTTCCTAAAGCAAAACATACAATATATTAAAAATAACAGCAGTAAACTGTAAATAAACTAGCAAGAAGTGCATTATTTTTAAAAGAATCTATAATCAGATGCATGTAATCCATCTCTGAAAATGCCCATTATAAAAGAATATGTTTTCATCAACAGTCCATAAATGGATCGCTCATGCAAAATGTTGAGACATAAAAATTTGATGCCATAAACTTGGTAATGAGCAAAAACAAACAGTATCTTAACCGATACTGTTAAAAAGTGTGCATCAATATCTATACATTAAAAAGTACTAATATTGTGTCCTTGCTCATTTTCCCTCAGATTAAAACCAGCAAGGATTACATCTCAACTAGTCTATTGCTAATCAGAACTTTACAATTACATCAGTACTGTTTTCCTAGTGTAGATTATTATTTACAGTAATTGGATAATTTACACTAGCCACACAGGCAAAATCTAAGCATTCTTTTTTTATTATTATTAATTTTTTTCATCAACATATGTTAATTTTTCCAATCAACAAAGTTGTCTGGAGTTTGTTAAGCTAATACATGTTCAATTCCTAATCCTTCATTCTTTTCTCTAACCAAGAATAAAATAAATTCCAAATTTGATAGTAGTCTGTATCTTCTTTATCTTTCAACCTCATAGTTAATCTGTCCATCTCTGCACATTCCAGTATTTTCCTGATTATTTCTTCTTCTGATGGCAATCCTTCATTCTTCCAGTATTGTGCAAAAATTATTCTCGCTGCTGTGGTGATGTGTAAAATTAAATATAATTTCTGCTTATTTGTCTTTTCAGGCATAATGCCTAGTAGAAAAAGTTCAGGTTTAAAATCCACTTGTTCGCCCAATATTTTTTCTAACCACATATGTATATTTTTCCAATAAGCCTTTGCCTTCCCACATGTCCACCAAATATGATATGTGCCTATGTTATGTTTACATTTCCAACATCTATCTGACATATTTTTAAACATTTTTGCTAATCTTTCTAAGCACATTCTTTCATTGGCATGACATGCCCATAATACTGGATTGCATGCTTGAATCTGCCAAGTTTGCTGTACAAATATGAAATCTATTACAGCAATACTGTACATAAGATTAAACACCTTTAGAATGCAAATATGTTTCTTTTCAAGGGAAAAAAATCTAACTATTGAAGAACCTTGCTAGCAGAACAATTGGATTATAAGGTGATGAGACTTACCTTGACCTATGTACTAATGATCTCCTGGAAAAGTATTTACATCTTAATCCCTCTTCCCTGATACCAACTTCTAGAAAGGTTGTAGTGGTGAAAATTAGAAATAAGCTTGCATAAGAAATTAAAGAAATTTAAATCAACAAGAATAAGCCAATTTAAGTATTGGTATGAAGCTTCCACCAAGCACAGCCAGTTAAGGGCACCAGATTGGGAAAAATATAAAAACTTTTCAAGTTGAGCTCAGCTTCAGGTGAACTTCATACACCTATCCACGTAGTTGTCTTGGCATCAATATGGAACACGTTTTTTTTCTCAAGAGTTTCTTCAACTTCCCAGTCAAGCCCATAGCTCTGGTATTCCCAAGAAAATTCCCAATCAGGACTAACCAGCCAGCTTCTGAGCCTGCATTGTCAATCAATTGCTGTCACTGCCAGAGATACTATATTGGAAAAGGCTGCACTTAATGAATATTGATAAAAATGTGGAAATATGTAACATAGAAAAAAAGGACACATAGAAATTTCTCCTCCCCTCTTTACAGAACTGATGCTTTATTCTATTTCTCTTGTCCCTATATCTTCAACAAATGTCTTTGCTGCAGTTTTCCCAAACCTGATGACTTCCAGATGCTTTGGAATTTACAACTTTAGAACTGGTTAATAGCCATGCTATCCAGAAATATGGAGCGTTATAAATCAACATATCTGGATAACGGCCTGTCGAACAAAGATGAATTCATTCTAACAAAAATTACGGTAGCTTTTTTCACCAGCAGATTTTTAGTTATCTATACATAGCATGCATGACACTCATTTAATGTAGCCAGCATATGCATTTCAAGTTGAGCTATGTCTGCTGATTTTCATAGCAGGCATATCAACTACAGTTAGAAAAAAGGACTAAAAACCAAGTGTGATGAAGTATGATTACAATGAAGCCAGAGGCCAGAACTTACCAAACGATTGTTCTCATATACATTTTCTTTGGAGAGGGAAGTAAAGTCCCTGAAAATTGAAAAAGAAAAGAGATGTCATAAAATAAGTACATTAGATTATATAGCTCAATGTTGCAGTATTTCTCAGTAAACAATGGTAAAATTTTCAGAGAACAGAACCTTTATAGTTCATTCTTTGACATTACAGTTGAACAAGAAAGTTTTAAATTGTGGACTTTTCAAGAATACAGAAGGAAGGAAACTTTAAACTTTAAACAATCACAATAAAAGTGCCTTTAAAAAAAGATATCTAGCATAAAAAGCATTCTGATTAGCAAAGGAACAGCTTTACAGCTCGTTCTTTGCAACTTGCCAAAATTATGTCCCAATGGGTTCACCTGAAATCTAGGTTCAAAACAATTTTTCTTTGATGCACTCCAATTTCTCAATTCCTTTACACAGTTTCCTTGCACATATTTCCACTATGTGAGAAAATCACTGAAAGTGTGAATAGTTATTGAAAATTGTACTGACAATGAAGCTAAAGTCAAGAAAAACAGAATACAAGGGCGGGACCAGTATAATCTTTCTGCAAATGGGAGATATGTTTTTACAATACACAGAGAATACACCAACATGTCTATAGTTCTAAGGTGGGTTTTTTAATAATTCCTAAATTTCCATGCAATTATGTTTCTAGAAAGCAGAGTTTCAAGCATGCTTTCCATGCTGTCAAGAGGAAATAAATTTAGTTTAACACTTATTTAATACCCTCTTCATGATTCCTAGTGTTTTGCTGCTGCAAAACTTCTAGCCCAGATTTTCTTCTCCATTCAACAATTGGAAAAATAAAGGGGGTGGGGGACAAAAGCAGATTATTGGTACATGATGCCAATATCTATTCATGTGACACCTACATTTGAAATGCATATGCTTATGTTTCAATGCAAAACTTCAATCTTCAATGCCGTCAATTTCTGTCTTATAAACATGTTTTCTAGTCTTGTCTGTCTACTTTGGAATATGCTATGACTGAATTATGTGATTTTTCCTCAGCCCTGCCACCAAAAGATACTTCTCTGAAGCTTAGCCTTCTTTTCTATGAACTTACTAATAGGTTCAGAAATAGTCAGTTGTTCTAATCAACAGAAGAAAATAAACAAGTTAGGACTGGCCTACAAATAGCTAAGTTGCTATGAGTAAATCTCATTGGTTATAATAGCATTATCTGTTCTGTCATCACAGAGGGTTTTTTTAGATTTATACTGAGCCGAGGTGGCGCAGCAGTTAGAGTGCAGTACTGCAGGCCACTTTAGCTGACTGTGTTCAGCAGGTCAGCGGTTCAAATCTCACCAGCTCAAGGTTGACTCAGCCTTCCATCCTTCCGGGGTAGGTAAAATGAGGACCCAGATTGTTGGGGGCAATGTAAATATATATATACATTGCTTACTGGTGTACACTGCTTAGAGAGTGCTTGCACTTAAAGCGGTATATAAGTCTCATAAATAAATAAATAAATTTGAAGCCAAGGTAAAGTTGAAAACCACAGTAAGTTGCTTTTTCTTGTACTGTATGGATAAATATGTGAATTCAGGCAAAATTTATTTAATTGATGGGTACATTTTTAAACTTTGTTAAACTTGAGTTTGTTCCTTGCCTACCATGATATTTGTCTGCAAAAGTCTCCTTCACCAAAAATTCTTCAGGAACACTGTAATTTTCCTTTAAGTGAGGGTTTATGAGCGCTCTAATACAATAAATAGTCACTTTGGGCAGGAATGACAATACCCCAACATATTTGGAGAGGGGGAAGTTGATTAAATCCTATTTGGCTAAGGAAGGCAGCAGAGGAAGGCAGCAGAACTATATGTCAATATAATCAAATAATTGCATATATAGTTGGAAGTGAGCTTTATGATTATTTATCACTCATATATCTGCCGGATCAGCCTTTATTTATCTTTTTATTTATCATGTTTACTTATTATGGAAACTTAGTAATTTAAATTTGAAGCAGTATCTACTAATAGTGATTACACACAACACTGCAGCAACTGTACTGTTATATAGCAGAACTTAATAACACTGGGAGTAAAAATATACATTTCCTTAAGCTTTATTTATGATGCCAAAAATTGGCCTCAGTATTGGACTTTGGTATGATTTGATACTGTTTTGCCTTTTCAGTCAGCAGTTCTTGCTGATGGACTTTTTTATGATTTTCAAGTCCGTGTTTTAACTCTTAATAATCAAATACTGTAGATATACTTTCTCCAAGATGAACCAGGCCTTTCAGGGCTTCTGACAAGGATCTTTTGCTGCTGTAATCAAGTCCATCACCTCCTATTAGTTGTCCCCTTTCACATTTCCCAGCATTATGGACTTTTACAAAGAGATAGATCCATAATGTGTTCAAAGTATGATAATTTTAGCGGTCATTCATATGTCAACTAAGAGCTCTAGGCTGGTTCTTTCACTTAACCCCAAATCATTTTTGAATTCTTTTACAGATTCTGAGCTTCTAAATCAGGGAGTTGCAGCCCACTACTGGGCCATGGCTTATTCAAAACTGGGCCGTCCAAGAGGTAAGCCGGTGGCCATGTGCATGCGCAGTTCCACTCACACAAGCGGTGCTCCAAAGGCTTCTTTTCTCTCTTGTGTGAGTGAAGCTGTTTGCGCTTGCGCAGGCCCGCCACTCACATAGCCCGGTTCCCCTTTTCCCTCCCGCCCAGCTGGGCCACTAAGCCGCAAAGGTTGGTGATCGCTGTTCTATAGATACAGATTGTCAAGGCATGTGTATATCCAAGGCCTTCGCTACTACTCTAACAAGTATTAGCCTATAGAATATTTTTGACTATTTCCTTTACTGTTGATATTAGTCAAGCCCAAAAGGCAAAAGTCTACCACTTCAATATGTTCATTTCAATCTAAGGCTGGTTATTGTATCTGTTGTCATTATTGTGACTTTTTTATATTTAATCTTATGCCCTTTTTTTCTCCATGACCCTTGACTTTCATTACTAGAACTTTCAAATAATTTGCATTTACAGTTATCAGAATAACATAATCACTATGGCACAGGTTATTGCTTTTTCTTCCTCCAATTTTAAAACCATGCTTCAAATGCAGCCCCCTTCACCATATATTCAGCCGTGAGGTTGAATACAGGAAGAAAAAGTCTTGTCTCACTCTTGCCAACCTGGGGCGAGTCTCTTTCACCATGTTCCATCCAGACTGTAGCTTCCTGACTGTGTGTAACTTTTGCTTAAGGACAATGAGATGTCCTAGGTTTCCTATTTTTTAAGGACATTCCATAGTTTGATGCGACAGACACAATCAAAGGTTTTTTTTCTACAAATAATGAAGCACATTATTTACTTTTTAAAAAATAGTCTTATTTTTTGTATAATTTATACAGCTGCCCATCTCTTAACAGTGACTCTGGACACTATACAAAGATTAAAACTAAAACAAGAAAATAAAATCTATGGCATTCAAAGTTAACAACAATGACCAGATTAAGAATATATCACCAGCAATCTTTGGCCTTCTCAATTATCAGCATCAGCAATCATGTCTTTTCTAAAATCATTTTGAATGTCTGATATCTCTCCTTCTATGTGGGGCTTTAATCTGTGTTGGATGATCCTAAGATATTGTCTGATATTTTGCATAATCTGTTAAATGTCCTTGTTTCGCCTTTGGTATATATTTCTTCTAATTTTTTGGTATATATTTCTTCTAAATTTTTGGACATTGTTTCATTCTTCAAATTTCTCGCATAGCTTGGTTATATCTTTCTGGTTTCTCTTCCGCTGCATGCTAGTCCATTATCTTTTAGTACCAGAAGCTCTTGTAAAGTACGTAATATCTTCTAAGATATCCCAGATGCTAACATCTTTACTGTACAGAATTTCAATATATTCCTTCCAACCCTATTTGATCTTTTTGGAATAAGGTACTATCTAGCCAATGGCATATTAATTTAATGTTGGAACCAGCTTCTGCGTTCAGAAATATTTTGGAAGTCCTTCCCTGCTTTTCCATGTCTCTTTTCATCCTCAATATCAATGCAATACTATTTCTGTATCTTCTAACAGCTTTCCAAAATCCTTTGTTAAGCTCTTTCATGAGATTTCTTTTCCTTAGCTTTGGCTTCTCTTCTCTTAGCAATTTCCATCATCTGTTCCAACACCCATTTTGCTTTTTTTGTTTGTTTGTTTCTTGATATTTGGCAGCCTGCTTTCTCATTCATCCTTAATAACTTCTTTGATTTCAATACATAATTTCTCTGGTACTCTATCAATAAGGTTCAGGACTTCAAAATGATTTCTGATATTTCCCTTGAAAATAGTGTGTATGTTTGTGTGTGTGTATGTATGTGTGTGTGTGTATTTGATATAATTTTGGGAAACTGTTTGGCTCTGCTTTTCTAATTAGCTTCATTTAGAACTTACACATGAATAGTTCACAACTTGTTCCATAGTCAGCCCCTGGCCGCAACTTTGCAACTGAGTTTTTCCATCTCCTTATACCAATAATATAGTCAATTTGATTTCTGGGTATTCTATCTGGTGATGTCCATGCATATAGATGTTGTTTTGGTCATCCAAAGAATATGCTAGTAATGAAAAAAATATCTGTTGTTCTGTTTCATTTCAACCTCCTAGGCTATATAGTTCAACTACATTTTTCTCTTTCCCAATCTGACTTTCTTGTCTCCAAGAAGAAGCATAGAATAAGCTGTAAATGTTACTGGGAAAGGAAATACAGGCAGCACAAACAGGGTGTATAATTACACACCTCAAATCCAAGTCACCTCCCTGAGCAGTTTGCCTGAGGAGAAGTCCAAGCACATGAGTCCAGAGCAGGATTCAGAGTCAGTGTCAAAAGGCAATCCAAAAGTCTAAGATACAATTGTAGGTCATACTGAAAAAGCAAGAGGTAGTTTTTCACAAGATGCAGTTAGGTAGTTGTTCCCAACAAGGGACTGATTTCTAGAAGTGTTCTAAAATAGAGCCTCCACCAGGTGCAAGCAATTACCAGTGGGAACACCCTTGTGTGGCAAAG